GACTATGACTACATTCTTCTTTAAGTGGTTGTCTATGACTATCCCCACTCCATTTCTCTTTCCATCTTTACCACAGTAGAAAAGTTTATACCTTTCGCCTATCTCTTTAGCTTTGGCCCCTTTCCACTTTGTCTCCATCAAGCACACTATGTTGACTCTTCTTCTTCTCAGGGTATCTGCAAGTTCAGTTCCTCTCTCTGTCATAGTCCCTATATTCCAACTTCCCACTCTTAATGGGACTCGCTTCTTACGTTGTCCCCGTCCCATGTGAGACAACAACCCTCGTCCATTTCCCACAGCCGCCGAGTGCTGCGGCTGCGCGTCGCCTATGGGGTACACCCTAGTATTATCACATCCCAAAGTGGCATTTGACATTCCATAAAAAAGGATTTGGCTGGGGTTTTTACAGTCGGCTGCCAACCAGACACCAACCTTCCATTTTCCTAACCTGGGCTGAGGAACCAGGCTTAGCAGGGATTTGGCAGTGGCCTGAGCTCCAACAGGCTCAAAACAGACCTTAAGCGGCAGATGGTCATCGCTATAGATACCGCCCCGCCTCCAGCGGCACCCAGCCCTGGAAGGCCCTCCTCCAGTGTGGCACCGGAGTATTACCCTTGCAGGACCCCCTTTACGCTCGTTTGTTCTTCGATGCTCGACTTAACAGGCTCCACTACGTGAAAGTGAGCGAAGGGTTGAGATGGATAGGCTAAGAGGCCAATCTTGTTGTGGCCTTATATTGCGCTTCACACCCCCTTGGAGCCAATATATATGTATGTATATAGATAGAAATATATGTATAAAAAAGAAACACTCACCGGCGCTTGTAGTGGGCCATGCGCCTTTGGAGGAGGTGGGCGATTCTCCGGCCCACATCCATAATCCTGAGATCGGTGGCGCGGCGACCGATCCCGGGAGGATCGTTCTCGTCCGTTTCCGGGGCGCTGGAATATATACATATATATTTATGTATAGAGACAAAATTAAAAAAAAAAAAAAAGTAAGGAACTCCGACACGGTCCGAAGTAAGCCGAAATAATAAAAATTAATAATAATAATAAAATATATAGCAAAATCTTAGCGAGTAATATAGTCCGCTGCCGGTAATTCTCGCAATAGAAAATAAACTGAAATTTCGGCAGGAAATATCGCGGAAGAATTGCCGATAATCCGGGGACATCTGCTTTAAAGGTAAGCCCACTCTCTGCCGTGCCAATGTCGGTCCTTTATAATTAATGTTTATAAATCGCTAGGTGTTAGTTAGTATTAGTCCGCCGCTAGTAAATCGTAATAAGTTAAAATTCCGCCAGACAATTACCCACCTAGCACTCTAGAGCCCCAGAGTTGGCCTGCTATGTGGGAAGTTGTGGAACGACATTTGATGACGTCACGGTCGACTCGACTCACTATCGTAAATCGAAGTGGAACATGAGAATCTGCTGGATGACAGGAACAGTTACGACTTTATAACGTTGCCGGTTTTGGGCTAAACAACTTCCGCATTTTTTGCCAATAGGAACGGACGATACAAACCGAAAGAGTTGCCAGTGGCGTTGTTTACGGCGGGGAAGCTAGTAACGGCCAGACAGCTCGAACTAAAGTAAAAATATATTCGGAGAATTGATCTATTTGAAACGTAATGCGAAACAAAAAGCATCGATGAGAAAAGAAATCGTCTGGAAAGACGTGCTTAGATTAGCGAGTTCTCGCTACTTTGTGAGAAGGCAAGAAGAGTCGAATGTGACGATCATCACAGCTATGGTGAGAAGTTCTAGCGAGACGACAAGTTTGTTCGTTAATTAATAGCGATCGCTCTGCATCTCCGCTACTACGGGAATGAGCTGCTGTTTGTAGGCATTTAGGAACGAAGGTGAAAGAAACAAAGATGGAGGCGCCCGTACTATCGATAGTATGGTGATGGAGGGATCTATGATTTACAATATGCGTTTTTACAGACAAAAGAAGGTCTGAATTGTAAAATTTAACTATAAAATAGATTGTCTTGCCGACAGAGCATTCAAAGTATCCAAAAAAAATGAGAACGCAGGCTACCATTCGAAAAAAAATCAGAAAGACACATCACCGCGTGCAAGATAGTGCACACGGTGATGTGTCACTATATACTTGTTAATTTTCTTTCATAAAACCACATAATAGACCCCGAAACGAAACTGAGCCATGGAGGACGCCATGTTGCTTTCCATGGTAAACTTACTACTACAAGCGCCCGTTTTTGACGTCCGACCGAAATATAGGAACGCGTTCCGCAAGAATTTTTAAATGGATGCCGCTCGCGCGGAGTTACACGGATAAATAAAAGAACGCACTCGACGTAGCTATCCCACTGGGCATCTTGCAAGTAGACTGGATCCCCCGTTCAAAAGATATAGTCTGACAAACACCCGCAACCGGAAAGAGCTCGAAAGAAAAACACGCCATGGAAGGATCGGACCCATCTCACAAGTCAGTACCGCCGCGTGCGAATAAAACTCTACCTAATCGTTTATTAAACTATAAAATGCGCACGAATATTACGTAATCGTCCCGCCTTCTTGATCGGAGAATTCTGGGTTCGCCACACATTTTCTTAGCCTTTCAGCCCCCTCGGGCACTACTCTGCCAAGTTTCGCCGTAAATAATTGACGTAAAAGAAATGTCCATTCGGACTTTGGTTCCGGTTTCGTTTGCCAAACGCGAGAGGGAGGGGGTTTTCGTCTTAAATATCCCCACATTTCTTTATGCATCGCTTTACAGCGAACACACTGAAACTGGTTTCTAATTGGCCAACACTGCTCGTGACGTTTCGCTACACTCTCGCTGCTTAAAGAAACGCGGGGTATACGTATACCGGCATTTCCGAAGCAGTTTAGTTCCGTGCTTAATGCAAATTTCCATATAGCCAGCGTGGTAAGAGTTATAATGACTTTCAAACCGCCACTATTTCTACAATTTAGCTTGGTACTCGCGTTCGGAAACGGACGAAAATTTTCCACTTCTGGCAGAGGCATGACGTGGGACGATAGCATTCGAACTATGGAGGTGGGCACGGCCAGAAAGTTTTATTTATACTGTGATACGTTAATATATTTCGTTTATACGCTGTATTATTACTACCGGATTTAAATAATGTCAAACACGCACTTACCGCGTAAAAGGAACGGCGCAATCCTATGACAGTATTGGATATTCCTAACTTCCCACCGTTTCTAAATACTTTTCCTATCCGATTTCTTCGCTTTCGTGCGTTGTATTTGCCATAAAATCGTCGACAAACTTAGAAAGTTTAATCCAGTAACAAAGCCATCCCGGTCGGCGCCATTTTCTACTACCGTTTGCATTTAAGGCCGATAAATGACGCACGTTTCGATCGTAGGATAGAAAGCCTATAATGAGAATGGCCGTTATTAGTAGCGCTTTTCTGTTGGCAGTTTGTGATCACATGACGTTAAGCCGCCATTATTCTTCCAAACGTGCAAGTTATTGTTTAGTTTAACTTACTTTACAATTTAATAATTCTTAGAGTACGACCGGACAAATCGCAGCGAGAAACGATTTTTAACGAGTTTTTCCGAAAGGTCCAGCACGTGGTAAACTTTGGGAAACAAAAGTGAAGAGAGAAAACTGAAGTATTAACAGTCATCTATGTATTTAAATTTTTATTTTATATTCCGATGATGTATTCATTCGTAAAATAGTCCAAACTGCTTAAAATTTAAATTAAAAAAGTCAGTATACATAAATTGAGTATTGATATTGCATATCACATATCAGATATAGTTTAATATCTGTAATATTATATTAAACTACTGTATATCTAATATTTTAATTATACAGTATTTATCATAAGCCACTTATATTTTACTATAAATATGATTTGTATTGTGCAGAAATTAAGTTGTTTTATAAATACACCTCACAGTAGGATGCATTTAATATTCTTTAAATATATATAAGGGAGGAGAAAATATGTAACGAATGTTTTGAATGACTATAATGCTCCAAAGATACCATTGAAGTAGATACAAATCTAAGAAAATTAGTAGGGCTATGTCTGATTAGTTACAAAATAAGTTTCCTAGTTTATGCTGCTAAAAGAGAACATCAATTGTTTTCATACATGGAAACAAAATTCGGATCCTTGGAGAATATTCTTTTGAAGAAGAAACAAAACCGTAAGGATTTCTTAATTGAAATTATAAATTTGATTTTTAAACTCGGAAAATTAGTTTTAAAAAATGTCACAACACAAAACGATTTATTATTTGTCTTTTAAACAATTAGACTTAAACTTTTAGACGGAAGAACATGATTGGGTAATATTTTGGCCTTTTTCCGCCAGTCTGACTAGTAGTGGTCCTCCCAGCGGCCGAGTGGTTCCGTTCCGCGAACACTAGGAGTTCGGTCGTGAGTTCGCGCCTGGCCAGGACGGGCCACGTGGGTTTTCTTCGCGTCCGTAACACCCGAATAAGGGACTAGTCTTCCGGGAGGCATCCCCCTTCGGCAGATGGTCCACGCGTGGCGTTGCCGCGTACAAATAAAACGAAACCCAGGCCCGGATTCTCCAAGTGTCGTTAATTACGACGTCGACGTATCGTATCTGTAATTCACCAAGCCGGTCGTAACCCGATTTACTATTTACGACAAAATATCGGCCATCCGATTTCTAGAGTGTGCTGTTTCGTCCAATTGGAATATAATCCGGAAAGTCGTCGGCCGTCTCGATTTGTCACTTACGACAACCCACTCTATGTCGTAATATAACGACGCCCGTTTACGACGTTTTCGGTTACAAGTTTTGACAATACCAAATTTTGTCGTGTGACAACTTAAGACGTACCGTACGTATTCGGTGAATCTGGGCCCCAATACACTCTCGCGTCACGTAGATAACAGCGGGAAAGTAAATTAGGAAATAAAAAAAAGTACGGTAATCTGATTTATTTTTGAATTTTAATCGCCGGACGCAAAAACAACTCGATGGCGCGCCGCCATTATCGCATCTTATCAATTCGTAGAAAATGCTATCTGCCCAGATACCGCGAAATTCTTCACAAAAACGGGGGCTAATTTCGTTTCCCTTCTTTGCTGTATCCATTAAGTTTTATATAGATTATTTTTTCCTTGTTTCCTGCAGAAATTCGCTGGGAGACAATTCTTCTTCCCGGTAATTGCTACATTCAATTACCAAACTAAATACTTTAAGGATGCGTTCTCAACTTCTTATCGGTCGTGCAGATATTTGTATAATACAAAGTGCGAACACGAATCCAACTGATTTATTTCGCCCCGTGTTTGCTTTTTGATTAAGGAAAAAGTTTCGTGCGCCGTTCCTTTGTCGACGTTTTAATTTTCGAACATTAGAACGTACTTAATGCGAAAATTTAGTGGAGCTCTTGCGCCGAACGGATAAATCTCTTTCCGCCCGTTGGCGGAAAAAGGGTCCTTTCGGCTCGACCAGGATTAAATCGAATCAGATACGGCGTTTGGGAGATCCCCAGGGATCCGTCTATCAGAAACTCTTCCCGACTTAAATGTCACGAGCGTGAAAAACCGAAAACCAGATGGAAACCCGCCACCCACGCAACCGAAATTCGGTAGTTTCGTAGGTAGATCGGTATAAAGGGGTCTTGTTTTTAATATAAACGGAGTCGATTTCGAGCCCTCCGGCCTTCCCGTATCGTCGTCTCTTAGCAACGACCGACCGCACACCTAAAACATGGCGCGGACGATTAGCGGAGGGGAGTCCCCCAATGAAGAGACTTCCGCACGTTTCATAACGCAATCATACCTTATCGCGGCAGTCGAGCGACTATAAATATGAGCAATTACGCGGAGACGGGCAGAATATACGAATGAATTGAGGTAAGTGTCCGCGTTACTTCTTTCTGGTGTCTAGAAAACGCAGCCTTTTATGAATAGCCGGGAGGCAGGTCTTTAAATGAGGGTCGAGTCGAGTAAGTGGTCAGCACCATCGTTTAACGTCGTATGTAGTTTCCAGGTAACGAATCCGCGAAAATTCTCTTTCGTCTTCCATAAAACATAGGTATGGTACTTAGAATTTTGCTCTCGTCTGGTAGTCTTGTACGATTTTGGTGGGCTTTCGTGCCCTAGAGTAGACACCCAAATCGTTCATATTCTGGACCCTTTCCCGATCTAATGCATCGAAATAACGTAAGGGGCGTTTCTAAAGCCGAGTACGTATGTACCGTTACAACTGGCAGGTGTACAGATACGTGCGTACACAGTTTAAATAAGCAAATCGGTGGGATAATTCGTTTCTTGCGATACCATTAGCAACAGATCCCGCAATCTGGTTTGCCGATTTGAAATTTATGCGTGCCCGTATTTGCACTCGGGATTGAGAGCTAGGTTACTTTTAATACGCGAACGCTTATCGGTTATGCGCAATAAATGATCTAGAAACTACCATCCTCAACATTGTAGATACTGTATTTAAATGCTTTTCTAGGGTAATGAAGTTATTCATTCTGTTGGTGTTCTTGTGCGCCATCTATCCCGTTTTGGGGTGGATTCACAGATGCCCCCCGCCAGAAAACGTTCCGCGAGAGTGCAGTTGCACGAAGTCAAAGAATCAGGTTCTGGTCAGTTGTCGACACGTGACCGACACCCACGTGCTGTCCGAGAGCTTGATTTCTTTCCAGAATTACGTAGTGGACGAACTGGAAATTTCCGACAGCGGGCCCCTAGAAATGCTGGCCGGGCCCTTTGCAAGACAGAACATCCATCGCATTGTTTTTAATAACGTAAGATTCGGAAACTTACCAATTCTCCGCAGCTTCAGGGGTCTCGAACAAATTCTAGAATCGCTGACTTTCAACTGTTGCGAAGTTAACAGATGGACCTGGACAGAGGGACAAGGTTTCTCCTATCTGAAAACTTTAACCTTTAAGCAAACTAATCTACCGGAAGTCTTGAGCCCCGCATATTTCGCCAAATTCCCGAACAAGATCGAAAACTTGAATATAATCAAGTGCAACGTGAAAGAATTGGAAGGAAATGCACTCGACAAGTTTACGGCTCTGAAGACCTTAAGATTAGAAAACAATAGGCTGAACTCGCTAAGCAGAACATCTCTCCCTCCGAAGTTAAGGAGACTGATTCATTTGTCTTTCCTGTAAGTCGGGTGAAGTAAAAACACAAGCGCGACTTTTCTTCTTCTAAAATTTATCCCCTTTCAGAGGTAATCCACTGAAGGTGCTACCAGAAGACATCTTCACGCACATGCCACGTCTCGAGAGCCTGATGCTGGGAGGAACTAGACTGAAAACTCTGGATAAAAAGACATTCGAACCAATCTGGGACCAACTGGAAAAGGTGTTCTTTAACGGTGAGTATATTCTCGTTAACGCGATCTCCTTTACGAACGTGATAATGCCATTTCATTTTTGACCCTGCAGGTATTGTACTAAATTGCGATTGCAACAGCACCTGGTTGATAGAAGTCGACGCCGAAAAAATGAAAGTTCCTCCCTCGTGCGGTTCACATAACAAACCGATTACCGAGTTCACCCACGAGGAATTATGTCGTACCCGCCGCAAATAAGCGCTTGTATTATTACGTTTTATTAGTATATACATATATATAATACAATATATAGCAACCCATTGTAGTATCGTCTTGTGTTCGCACCAAATAACGCGGGGGGGTGTAATAATAATAATAATAGAAATACAAAGTGATGGTAATTAAAGAGTAGGGGTGTTCGGATCTTTCCGTAGAAAGAACTATTGGGCAAAGTACCACTAAATTTGGTACGAATATTGTCCCGGAAGATGCAGTTTCGATTTTCGGTAACGAATTTTAAGTAGAATCGGCCACTGGGGTGAAATTTGTGCTGCTATCCTCTTAATTTAACGTATACATTTCTCAAAGCAAAGATGATGAAAATCTGGTGATCGCCTTGCCATTTCACCAGCTGTGGCTAGGGGATGCTCAAAGAGCCTCGTTGATCTAGGCAATGTTCTCGGCCCGGTTGTCAGCATTTCACAACACCTGAGACAATCCCACGCGATATCTAGTTTAGAGTTACGCGAGTAACAACAAGAGTGTTTTTGTTGGGAGTGTCACGAACTCGTTCGGTAAATGGTCGATCAAACGAGTACCACGTAATACTCCCAAAACACTGGTTACCAAGTGCATAGAGCCAGAATCCGCACACTTCATCTATACTTTGTTTTGTTCATTAGAAAACGTACGTAATAAGAACGCCGAAGAGACGGAAGCGCCAATTTCGCCCTGGCGGCCGAATTTTGAAGCGAAATTGTAAATTCGGGCAATACGTATACCGAACTGGGTCGAGATCTGCCAAATAGTTTTGTACAGAGCTCCGAACACATTTTGTGATCGACCCACACTCTAATGGAATGAAAATAACCCAATGGCGACACTCGATACCTCCCATTAAAGTGACACTTCCATCTATAACGCAGTTTAAACTATTTTAAACAGAATAATACGTAATTTTCCTCGCAGACTGTCATAAAAATGAAATATTAACGTCTAAATTTATTCTTTACGAGCAGAATCGGTTCGTCACGCGACAATTTTTAAAAAGACACTACCTTCACAAATTACGTCACTTAAATCTGCGACCAATTACAAATGACCGTAGAAACGAATCTGTTCTTCCAATCCATGGCCATTTCTCGTGTATCGTTGGAGATTTTTCGGAAGATTCGCAAGGCGCGACGTCATCGGCTCCGGCGGATATCGCCGAAAAAAATCTCTGGCTCCGTCCGTCGGGGAAGAAGAAGAGCCGGTCTTCGGAGCACGCGCTAAGAAGACCACCCAGAGAGAACGGTAAATTACTAACCGCTCTTGGGTCAAACGGGAGTGCATGGCCACGGGATACGAAGCTACCACCTGGATCGCCTCCTCGTCGTTCTCCTCTCGCTACCGGAACAAAAAAAAAAAAAAAATGGTCCAATTCGATCCTCTGCGGGCGATTCGGCTAACTAATTTGCATATTAATTTCGCGTTTATTATGCTGCAAATAGCCCTACTTCCGACTATAGACGAACCGGAAGTGGCACTACGGCAGCTCGTTCGTAGCCAAAAATTGCGGTAAGTAACGAACGAAAAACTGGCTACTAGGATCGAAACGACGGGCACGGTTCGTAGTAATCCATCTTACGGGTTCGAACCCGTAAGACGGATTATGGTAGGGCTGGAATTTCCTACTCTAAATATAAAAGGGCGGTCCAAAAGTCGGTTAACTATTGTCGAACATGCACGTCCGCGACGAGGTATTTCGTTCTATACCGTGGTTAACCAACTTTTGGCCGAACACCTGCATTTTTACACGGAAATGATAATATAAAGCTTTAAAATATTAATTCCGAGGAAAAAATTGGCGAAGATTTCTTTTTCCGCTTCCGGGGTAAAGTGTCGCGACGAACTTCCCATAAACGGAAGCTTTATCATAGATTATTATTATTGTTGTTCGACGTCAAGAATACAGATCTTTAGAGGCAAAATTCAATTACGAGAGAGAATAGGGAAAAAAATTCCGTTGGATAAAAGGGCAATTTAAATCGTTTCCACGTTATTTTGACCTTAATAACCTTTGACCCCGGGTGCGAATCGGTAAAACAAAGGCGAGATTATCGTTCCGGGCATAAAAAACACCACGAAACGTTTATAAATTTAACTAAAAATGAATGATTTTTCGTTGGTTTCCCACGTAAACTTCGGGATCCCTATAATCGACACTTTCGTAATTTATATCATTTTTATTTTTATAATAGTAATAAAATTTTAAGTATATAAAACAAAGGACTGTCGACGTTCTTACATGTGTACCCGACTTTACATACAGGCAGGACGATAAGGTATAACACGGGCAGCCAGAATCCAAATGTCCTTATTTTTACACTTCAGAAATCAATTTCAACGTTAAAAATTTCGTTTTTACAAAGAATATTTCCGCTCTTAATAATTTATAATACCTTAAAAGAGGAGGGGAAGTGCTCTTCTGCGTCGGATTTCCTCGGATCGTGGCCCTACCATGAACATTTGCAACGGGCGAGTTCCAAATGCAAAGCACTTAAATCCTCATCCACTATTGTCCGGGTGTTACGTCAAAAAGAGAAAGGTTACCTTTTGCGCCCGGGTTGATTTACGGGGATGGGGGTTCAGTGTGGACGAGCAACGTACAGTTCCTGTTCCGGAGCGTCGGCACCCCTCTCGGACGGGTACAGAGAAGAGTCGGCCCGAGCCAACATTAACTGAAGATGACGGATGTAGCGGATGGCCGAGCGCAGGGTCTCCACCTTGCTGGGCTTCTTGTTGGGCGAAGAGGGTGGCACGTGCTGTCGTAGAAGGGCAAAGGCCAGGTTGACCATCCTCACCCTCTTCCGTTCCCTTTCGTTCCTTTTGGCCAGATGGGTGGGGTGGACGGGAGACCGCGGACGGTCCCTTTCCGGAGAGTATCTTCTGCGTTCCATCTTCTCCGCCGATATCCCGCTTATAACGATAGAGCACCGGACGCCGGGACCCACCTCCGTCCCCGTTAAATGTGGGTTACCGCGGCCCCGGGCCAGAATTTCCCTTCCTCCCCTCGCGGACAGGTAAGTAAATCCAGCGCGTGGGCTTCGATTGTCCTTCGTTTCTCTTCTCGAGCGCCCCCCCCCCGAAATACGGGAAGGCCCCCTCCGCCCGTCCTGGAAACACTAGAGGTCGCTTTCGGACCCGAGCGGCCGTGACGTAACGGTCCGAAGCGGAGAGGGAAGGGCAAACGAGATAAAGAGAAGTCGTCCAGACATTTAATTACAGATCGTTTCTCCGGGGTTGCATTCGGGGGTCAAAGATGAACACGTCTTCCGTGAGAAGGTAAATCGTCGGGGAGGTTCGGTAGTCGCCGTTAATTGCTTCCTCTCCTCGTCTTTGGCATCCATCTGGAGGAAATATACACACAATCTCCCCCTTTGCAAAACGTTTTCTTATCTTCCTCGACAATCTCCAAGCAAACAGCAGATGCAAATGGCGTTCATGCAGATTCCCGCGTTTAAGTCGCAGAAAATCCAAGTAACTTCCCCGAAGTAGCGCTTGAATCGTTAAATCGAGGGCGTTCGTCTCCGATCCGTTACGCGAAATTCGTCGCCGTCACGCGGTTTACCGGTAACCACGAAAGGAAACACCCACGACTCCGGCATAGTGTTTGACGTTTTTATTTCTTTCACTGGACGTACATTCGGGGGGTGTAAAATAAGTTAATCAAAATAGTTCCTTGGCGTTACGTCCCGCCGTCTCGTAAATGGCCCGCGAGACGCGAGACTGCAATCGTGACGCGTGACGGTGAAATTCAAGATTCCCATTCGAAGTTCGTTCGAGTGCGACTGATCGATTAAAAACGTATTGTTTTGAGCAACTATACAAGCACGTGGCGCGTGTGTGTATATATGTATATATACGGCGTGTCTCGCACGTGTTTCACTTTACGTCACCAACTAACCTACCTACGACTAAGAGAAACGTCTAATGGAAGGTGTTTCGGATGCCCCCCGCACTGTATTTTTTTTTTCGATTATTTCTGAACATCTACGTGAGTTCGGGCAGTTACGTTACGATCTACAAAAAACTGGAGTAAATATTGAGCAGTGAGTATATTAAATTTCGGAAATGTAAACGTTGTATACAAGGATAATTTCTGAAAGACGGTGCAAAGTTTTTCTGCTGTTGTTGTTTTTTATTTTGGCATCGAAGGGTGACTAGAATCTCGCGCCTCCACCCGCACTCCCGGTAAATTAAAATTTAGTTACGGATGAACGTAATTGCACTTAACGAGAATAACGCTAAAAATTCGAAAAATTCAAATTCGACGCTCTCGACCGTACGAGAAACAATTGGCACGTGCCTCGCCGGAAACCCGCTGGTCGACGGTTGCTGTGTTTGAAAGCTACGTCACGCAAACGCTACCCACGTGATCGAGTAGTAAACCAGAGTAGAAAGTATCCAGCTGCTTCTACGAATTAGTTACCTAAGGACGGAATTTTTTTCTTGGCACCGAGAGAGAGAGAGAGTTGTTTTTTTTTTAATTGAAATTTTGTTCATGTTTACGTGTTTTTGAGCCAAAAATTAGGGAGTGAAGTTTAGCCAAAACACCGCGACGGCCGACGGGAATCACACCCGCAATCGCTTCCTTCGGGCATTGGACCTTTAAACGAGGAATGTTTGTCGCGTCACGCTCGATCGACTCGCGCGCCAACTTTACTTCCCATCCGGCGGGGATCGGAATGGAACTAGAGGCGGACCCCCGACCGAAAGAGGGTTCCGGCCGCGGGCTACCGAATGCAAAACGTCGGAATGCAACGTATGGCGCGTGTACGTGTGTAAGTCCTATCGAAAATAAAGGAGGGGGAAAAATGTTACAAAAAAAAAATAAAAAAAGGTACTTCGAAAAATAAAAAAAGGAGTCGAAAACGCCCCTAAATGCCTAACTTCTGAGTGGAAAGGCGATCCTCGGCCATGGCGTCGAGCAGGACTTTCATGCCCGTGGCGGCAGACAGGAGCGAGTTGTACTCCATGCTGTTCATGACGACGCTCATCCAGACGCAGAAAGCGAAAGTGACGGACAGGACCATTCTCAGACACACCAGGACGGTCCAGCACCCGTAAGGGACTTCGAAGGGCACGCTGACCAGCAGCAGGCAGATGATGAGACACGACATGATAAAGTAGAAGATGCGGTCGTTCTTTAGAGACGACAGGTTGTCGGTCAATAGACGGTATCCTTCGTCTAGGGCGGCTTCCCTCCCTTCCGGTTGGTAGCAGTTCCGGAACACTGTAACGAAACCGGTGGATGTCACTTCCGCTTCCGAGGTTAACCGGAACCGAGGTGCGAGCGCTGGGAGGAGAGGGAGAGGAGAGGAAACGTACAGTACGTAACGAAAGTGAGAAAATAGGTGGACTTACGGTCGGCAGACTTCTTGACGAAGAGGCGTCCCACGACGGCTTCGTGATCCGAATAGGAGACCGTGCCTCCAGGTATTTTGTGAAGGGGTGTTTCGCACGACAAGCACTCCACCATGATTCCTGCGGGCGAAACGATAAATTATATGGTGTCCTACGGATAATCGAAGTAAATCTTGCGGACGAGTCAATTTACGGATGCAACCTTTAGATCTAAATCTAGGAACCATGTCCACGGCGTTTATTACACGTAGGGCAGACAAATCGGTGTGTCCCAGACACCCCGTTCGTTCGGATCTACGAAAGAAACGGGGATGGACTTTTATCGGGGCACAGTCCTTTGGCCGACAAAAGAGAGAAAGGATTCGGCCACGGGAGGCAAAACACACTAAGAGGGATAAAAAAAAACGCGGGAGGTTGCCAAAAACACGGAATTTCGCGCTTAATCCGCGGAGTAACGCGCGGCGCGAGACTTACCACTCTTGTATTTATACATGATGTAATCTAGTCGCTTGCCCAATGGGCACTCCTTCAGTTCCGACTTGTGGCTGTAAGTGTTTCGAGGATGACCACACGTGGCCCCGTCGCACATCTCCTGCAGAAAGACAAAAGGCGCGTCAGAACACGTGCCAGACGCCAGAGAGCAGCGGACGGCCCGATACTCACTTCGGCTTTGGGTTGGGTGGCGAAGGAATCGTGGCACCCGGCGTTGGCCGCGATGATTTTATACACCAGATCCGACGGCTCCGTGTTGAAGTCGCCGGCAACGATGCAGACGTCGGCGTCGTGACTGGTGGTACTGATGAACTGACTGAACTCGAAGGCCTGGGCCACCCGATGAGGTAGGTACTGATCGTTGAAGTGGTTATACTCCGCGTGTAACTGCACGAGAAAAGTTACGTTTACCGTCACCTCCCTCTCGTGCCCGTTTCTCCATCCAACCTTCTACCTCCGAGGAAGTTCCAACATTAAAGACATTCTTTGCCTCTTATCTCAGGTATGTACAGGCTATAAATTAGGCGTGGCGACTCCCGTAGATAGGGTGTCGACGATATCGAATTTGGAAAGTGTAGGTCAGTGTTTCTCAACGGGGGCGATATCGGCCCCATGTGGGCGTTTTTCCATGTTGAGGGGGCGATTAGTAACAATTTATATTTTGGGGGGAGCGAAAAACAATTTTCTCGGCGATATAGTTAAACATTATATTAAGAATAATTAGATATTTTATTCGTTATATCGTACAATAATTAAACAAATAACATTATACTAGTCACTAGTCTATTCAATGCAGTACGAATTTGGCGTTAGCCTTGGCCCTGGGCATCGGAATTTTGAAGTGAAGGGGGCGATACTACGTTGAAGGGGGCGACGATTCGTTAGAGATTGAGAAACACTGGTGTAGGTGGATCGGATCGCCAATGGTCGGACTCGATGTCCTTCAAACTTATGAAAAATTTCATGTGATCATTCGAAGCTCGAGCACCACCGATCACATTTCTGTTTTCCTGGACAAATTTAACGCGCACGCAATCTCCGTGGCGTTAAAAACAATTACGAGGGATCCCCAAAATTTCATTTTTTAGGTGAAAATTACAAATAAAACTCTCTTAGGAATAAAATCTTGGCAGAGTCCAATTCCACCGGCGGTGAGTCTCCCCGCTCCCTCCATCTACACTTTGTAAAAGTCAATGGCACCGATACCCTAAATGTAGGAGCCACCACACCGAATTCCGAGCCTTTCCGGTTATATAACTTGTACCGGAATTAAGAGGCGAAAAATATCGCTAGCGTTCAAACTTCGATGCCCACCGGTGAGGGCTAAATCGAAAAACGGGCACTTAACAAAACTGAAAAAAATCCTAAGTGGTAAATACTTTGAAAAGTTAGAAAAAACAAACGTACTTGGTGTGTTAACTAGCAAATTTACCTGTCGTTGCCAGGGAAATTTCCGACATCAAAATACAAACGAGTGATCAGATTTCGAGACAGACGGACCGAAGATCGGCAACTGGCACAATTGGAGTGCAACCGTCCGGCGGATGGGGAAAGTGGGCATGTTGTGGCGGAAGTCAAAGTTAACTCCACAAAAATTAGTCGTCGACGCCAAGATGCAGGAATTAAAAAAAAGGAAAATGCATAAAAGAAAGTCACCGTCGTTACCGAATACGACCCCATCCGGGACCCCTACAAACTGACAACATTCTTATCCTGTCTGGACCAATTCCACACGGTTGCTCTCTGGTACCGTAAACACTCAAACCCCTCCATCCTCCCAAATTTCCAAACCTTTCCGGACATCCAGACAAACTTTGCACGGTTACAACTCTCCAAAAAATATATGCTATCCACAAATTGCCAAACCCTTTGACCGATTTGCACCAAATTTTGCACAGTTACTACGTGCCACCCTGCTACCTCATAACCAGGACGATGCAACCCCTCTCCCAGAGTTCCCAGACAATGTTGAGTATTCTTTGCTAGCTTATAATAAATTAAATAAAATTTAAGCACAAAAAATTGATTATGATTCTTGTTTTATATGAAAAAATTGACATGCTGGGCCATTGAGCTTCATTAATTAAAATTCTTAAGAAATAAAATTGATCATTAATCATTTATCAAAGATTATCATCTTGTAAAGTAATAATAATTAATTCTATTATTGTAACTTGTACACCATTAAATCTTTACACACATTATTTTGTTTTACTTTCAAAATAATAGATTATTATATTACAATTTTTTAAAAATTGTTTTGAAAGTAGAATAATGTTCTATGTTTAAATAATTTCGTAATTTAAATCCCTTATTTATTCTAGAATGGTGGTTCTCGAAGTGTAGTATGCTGGCACGTTCTGGATGGTGTGTGGATTAACCCGAGATTTTCCCATAATTTTATACCGTGCCGTTTAGTCGAAAGAAAGAACGTTTGTGTGTGGTGTCACATACGCCTTACATTGTTATTGGCTAAACAAAATATGGCGTGCATCTAAAACCATATTTATGAGGATGGAAAGTGGACTGGGAGCTGAGGGGTTCGCAGGCCCAACAATTTTGAGAAATGCTAAGATTTTATATTAATAAATAATCAATAACTTTGCTCTATCATTGAAAGTGATTGTAATTATATTTGTTTTTTGTACTTGATATTTTTGTCTCCTTTCATGCCAAAAGATACTTCTTGTGTCAAACATACTGAAATCTGAAGTGAGCTACAATATTATGGTATAAAACAAAGATTAATTGTAATGCTTTTTACTCTGAATATTAAAATTTCTAGTAAAAGTTCATTTTAATTTGTTTTATATTACATATTAAGGTAAGATTGAATTTATATTGATTTGTTCATTGGCTTTTAATACGAGAAATGATGCAACAGTTGCTTTGATCTTTTACAACAAATAAAATAGCTTAAAATAAATGTAAAAATTCCTTTGAAAAGTAAACCATTCTCTTAAAAATTATTACAGTTTTAAAAAATGGAGATGATTCGCATCATCTTAGATCTGTATCAAATATGTGTTGCTCTGGTGCTTTGACAAAGGCCAGTTTTGTAATAGTTATGCCGTTTCCAAGACAAAGCAAATAAAGACAAAATTTAGAACAAATTTATGTAAGTTCGGTTATTAACATTAATGCATAATTAAAATGAATTCTTCAATTAATTTTAAGATTAATTTATGTATACAAGGTGTCCAAAGTTACTGTGCAGTGAGAAATCTGTAGTGACATTAAATTTATGCACAAGGTTTTGCATACAAAACCCATAAGTTGTCCAGTTTGTACCAGTTGACCAATTGACCATATGATATTGCATACAATTTATGGGTCTCTTTTATGCAATGCCATACACACAACCTTTTTTCTTTGGACTACTAAACTTTTCCTGCTTCCGGCAAAATATGTAAAATGTAGCAACTCAAACATTTTTGGAATCGCCCAATTCCAGCTTCAGGTTTACAGAGTTTGTTTTGAATTGGAATTCATTGAATAAAATGCAAATAGAATTCAAATTTGAATGGGCCAGTATAAGCCATGCACTGAGCCATACTTATGTCACCCAGGTCATAATTATGTTACTTACCCTGCTTGCCATGCTTTAGCTAACCGTATCTCGTCCATACAGTTGATACAATTGGAGTTATGGCTGGCTTTAAATATTTCAATGGACTCTATGAGTGATGTGGTCCGAATTTGGGAAGGATCCAATGAACTGAGTCCAATTTAATTTGGTCTCTATATGATCTTTTGAGGCAAACCCCGACAGGCTTTCAAATGCTTTATAACAAAATATTGTAGCATAGCAGGCATAGTATGAAACATTGTTATAACCTGGGTGACATAAAATGACTTGACACATGTCTTATATTGGTTGTTTAAATTTGAATTCTATACATGCATTCTATTTGATGTATTCCAATGCAAATGAACTCTGTAAACCTGAAACTGGAATTAAATGAATTCCAAAGAAGTTTGTGAATTGCTACATTTTACATGTTTTGCTACAGTTATATGGCACAATATTAATGATCAAATTAGTATGTTCTAGTGTAAAATTATAAAATTGTATGTAATGTAAATCTTATTGTAAAATTATCATGTCAATTTTTTCTATTAATTTCTAATAAAAAAATAATTAACTTATACAACAACAAACCAAAGACTTACGTGAGATATATAAAGATTTATGTTCAGTCCCGAATGATTCACCTTGCAGAGTCCTGCCACTTTGCCGCCGAACCAGTCGCCGTGCTGTAGCTTGTGAGCGTATCCGTTCAGACTGTACTTGTTCATTGCTGTGTCTCTTATCTTACTTTTTGAAAGTATGCAGACTCCGCTTCCAAACACGCCACTGCAAATAAATATTTATCAATTAGGATTAATTATATTACAACTGAGCTAGAATCGAGTTGTGGGCCAAATACATTTTAATTTTACTGTATTTAAATCATTTTTAATAAATAATTCAGGTAAATAAAAAAAAAACCATTAAATACAACTAAATTGCCTATAACTTAGAATGAAAAAGTTCAGAGAATCAGATAGTAAATATGCTTTCAGATTTTAATTGTTTTAATTTTTGACGGTCTCCATCCAATAGCCACTAAAGGGCCTTTCTTCCAGGCCCATCATGGGTTTGATCCAAGTTCCCATGTCAAAGCAGCCAGGCAGTAAAAGATGGAGTCCAACACATTGGAGTTGAGCTACCCACAAAAAACTCCTTGGGTTCTCTACCTGAATCGATCCTGGATCTCCAGCTGGCAGGACTTCTTTACTGCCTCGGCACACATTTACAAAGTGATAAATTTATTTGACTTAGAAATGGATTAACGGGATAAGGCAACACAACCTACAGATGATCTGCTAAGGGAATTACATCCCAACAGGACTTTTATGGAAAACTGGCTCCTATTTAGGTTGGTTTTAGTTTTATCATACACGGCAACTTGACGTGGGTAATCTGTCAACAGTAATTCCTCACGGGAGGTCTTTTATGGGAAACTGGCTTCTATTTATGTGTTACAAATGTGAAGAAAACCTGGAGAACTCCACATAACCATACCACTGGCAAGGCTCAAATCCAGGACCAACTATCAGTGTTTGGTGGTATTATCCTCTTGGCCACTGGTGGCCCTATTTAGGCATTAAACACACAAAAACCTGAAAAATCAACATGATCAATCTATTGGTAAGACACAAATCTGCAAGTAATTACCAACATTTAGTCACTGTATTTGATTTAACTTGGAACTGACAATGGTAAGAAAAACTGAAAAGATTTTTTTTCTTTTAATTTTAATAATTTCTAACAATAAATTAAGTTACACAACATAAAACTTTTAATAAGAATATTGAAATTAAACAAAAATACGTGAAATAATAGCATTAAGATTTAAAAACAATTACTTATAACACATTTATACCATTCAACATAGGATATAAAGATCTCAGTGTGAAATAAGGGGTTGTAGTTGGACCAAAAGATCGTGCTAAATTTATTTCTTAATAAAGAACATTTTGACAATGTTGCACAACTAATTTTCAACTAGCATGTTGTACAATATGCTGCAGTGAAATTTGATTATGACATATGAATGGAGTTTGACATTCTCCCTGTTGGTTTCTACTTTTGTCACTCTTGTTAGTTATCTAAAAGGTCACATTAAGGTTTCGCCATTTTCATTTTAATTAAATAACTACCATTATTAATGCATTTTTCTTATGAGTTTTAATTAATTAATTAAATAAAAATGGCAAAACTAATGTAATTTTTTGGCTAACTAATGAAAATGACAAAAATGAAAACCAACCGAAAAAATGCCACTGAAAATCCCATTTGTATGTCACACAAATTGATCAAATTTCACCACAGTATATTGTACCTAAAGTAGATTCATTCAAATGATTAAAATTAAATTTCATATTCTGATTAAAGTAGTACAAAAACTATTTATTGACAAAAGTGTCAATGTACAGGTTTTATACAACTCTCATAAGGATGGAGCTGTTTTTTTTTTCACTGAATTCCAATGGGTCTGCAAAATTGAGGGGACGGAGACACAGACTTTGCTTACCATAACTCTTGATGATGTTGGTAACTCTCGATCCAAACAAAAACATTTTACTTGGCACAATTTCTTCACCTCAAAACTTATGACAATTTACAAAATGGGTCAAAATTTTTCTTAGGAGTTTCTCTTTGGTAAAGATAAGCTTGACACTTTGAAGCAAAACATGTAGAAAATAATAATACAAGAAAACATCTTGTAGATACTGTTTCAAAGCACCAAGCTTATCTTTACCAAAGAAAAACTGCTAAGAAAAATTTGACTGTGGTCTAAATTGTAAAAAAATTGGACCAAGTAAAAACTTAAGACATCTCAGATGTTTTTGTTTAAATATCTATTATGTTTTGATGTAATAATACAATTATTAAACAAAAAATTGATGACAACATACAATTCGGTCTGTGCTTGGCAACCACCACAATAGTCACCAAGTAAATGCTTTTAATATTCATTTTGGTTGATGCCGATCAATCATGTCACCAATTGACTTGCCACCAATCGAACACATGGCCAACCAACACTTTTGATACACTATTTAGAAAAATCATCATAAAAAGGTTTAATTCACATAAATTTGAGCTTTTGTTATACTGAGTAAGATTTTAAATAAAATTCATTTGTTTACATCCAGTTTTATCTTTATAAGCATAAAAATTAAGCCATAAAACTGAAATAGCTCTATGGAGAAACCCCTATAAACTTTGACTTAAACTGCCAAAACATTTGGGTTAACCTCACCGATAACAAGAAAGGCTTAAGTTTAAAATTTGAGCTTTCTAAACCCAGTAGTATTTTCTCTAAGATTATCTGCAGTGCCGAATGAAGAAGAAAATACTGTTTTTCTGGCAATTCTTGCACTTTTTGATTGCTTATATTTTGATAACCGCTTTATAGAAAATCTATCTTCTGAATTTTTACACACTAGCTAAGAAAACGATTGTCTTTCGAATGAGATATTCAGAATTTCTTTGCAAATTTGGTGACAGAGAAATCAATCCCCCAAAAATCGGCAACTCTGATTCCTGCATAAATGGTTGGTGACTTTTTTACTTGGCAGAGAGTCACTGCCACAACTCTTGATTTTGGTAATAGAACCAAATAGGAACAACACCAGTTAATGGTTTTGATAGGTAACAATGTACTTTAGCTGCTAGTATGCACAGACAAGCAAGATCCTGACATTAAACTTGTCAGAAATTCGAAACCATGTTATATGTTGGGATCTTGCTTGTCTTGTCTGACTTAATTAAGATTATCTTTGGCCATAAATAATGCCTCTTTGTGTCTAGGCAAAAGAAATCTGAAGATGAATCAAAGAAAGACCAATCAGAAATAAACAAAGGAAGATTCAAAAATCCCAGGAACAGATCTGAACTGTTGAAACACCAAGGAATTTTTTGACAGTGGTCTGTCCCAGTTCCTCAGAACCTGGCCAAATCCACAACAGGCTTGACGGAAAGGCCCTCTTAGTGTCCACAATGCAGAAAGAGTAAAAACGAAATTAAATATTCATTTTATCAAAAGAATATTAAGAATGTTTTATTTAAAATTATTATCAATAAATTTTAGTTTGTAAGATTTTTTAGAAAACTTTTGAAATAAATTTGATAATTATTCTTCAAAATTTTATAACATTTTTCTATTTGTAAAAATACATTTATTTGCTGCCAAAATGTTATGTTAGTTTAAAATATTTACATTAATTCAAAACTCACCTGTAAAAATAGTGGGCATAAGGAAGAACCGATGCAGTTTTCTTACATATGTATTTATAATCTTCCTGACTCCAAACCTGCAAAAAACAATATTATGCTATTGAAATAAAAATGTAATTTTCATCAATTATATACATTTTTTTTTGTGATAAAATTAAGTTATCTACTGCAGTAATCCAACAGTATCGACAGATTAACTTTTGGACTTGAACTCTGCTAATTAACATAATAAATGCAATGTAATTTGGACTGAAGATAAGCAACCGAAGTAACACCAAATTCACAAATCGTAACTGTCTAAGTTGGCTGAGAACACGATTGTCTGTAGCCAATGTGGCAAGTGACCCATATATTTTCTTTTTTAAATTAATTAGTCTGGAAGTAAAGATCAAGCAGAGATTCAGGTAATGCAACTGGCAGTGATCTGTGTGACATAAAGTTGTGAGTCACACTTTGGATCTATCTTTTCTTCCAGAACAGTTCAGATTATTTAATAATCATTGAATTTAGTACAAGATGGGAGCTTCAGTTCTTTAGTCCAATTACATCATATATAATATATTAATTAGTCAAATTCTAACCCAATAGTTAATAATATCATAAACTAAATGAGCACAGTATTGAATCGGGGCAGCTGAATGGCCGAGCAGTCAAGATGACAGCCTACCGCTCTGGGGGACCCACATTTGAATCCGAATGACTTGTAAAATCCCGAGGAATTTTTCGAGGGTCCGTTCAGATGTGTCAGGCCCCATCCCTCACCACCCGGCAGCCCCATTGTGGGCCTGGCTGAACCCATAATGGGCTTGCAAAAAGAGGCCCTCTTAGTGCCCACAAGGCAGAAAAAGTTAAAAAAAAAAGTATTGAATCAGGCTACTTTACCGCTCCTATTAATAATTAAATTCTAAGTAATTTGGTACTAGATGAAGGCAGCATCTCTTAGGCAGCATCTCTTATTTAGTAAATATTAAGGTAAATGCACCGGTAGTGGACACTTTAAGGAAAATTTTTCGACTTTTTTGAAACTGGACCCCTATTTGGAAGCCTTATGGCTTAAAAGTTATATTGTCTGTTAGACAAAATCTTTCNCCACTGTTTAAAAAATTTGATTTTTAGTCAGTACCCGAAGACAAAAATATCACTGTTCAATAGAGCATAGCCATTTTACTTATCAAAGCTTTTATAATTTTCAATTAAATTTGCTTTCCTTTATTTTAAAAGAAACATACAGATGGCCCACGTCATCCCGTTTAATGCATTAATAGTTACATTTTACCACACCGTGCCATGTGGACCCCAATGAGAGAGTCTGCAAATATGTTGGCAGGAATCCTTCGACTCGTAAAAGAGAAAACCAGCAATGAATTGCTCAATTTTACTGAAAACATTTAAAATTTTGGTAGTGCCATCTGTTATCATAGTTAAAAATATAAAAAGTTTTAAAAATATGACAAAATGGCAAAATACTTAATTTTGAGGGTAGGGATGAGTTTTTATAAAAAATTGTTAATGGTAATAATGAGTAAAATCGTCCTTACTTGAGATATACACAACTAGGGTCCAGAAGTAGTCACCCTCTCAACCTTTAACCACCAAGATTTAATATCATCAATCCCCTTAATGAACAAACCTCCCCTGCAAAATTTCAGAAATTTTTTACAAAAAGTATCGGAATTATTAATTAAGCTTCAAACAGGCCAAACAAAATTGTGTTCCCACATACAGAAATTACCCCCCCTTTTTTTTGCATTTCAAGGTGTCCCGAGCCCAAAAATGTAAAACTCTGGTATGGTAAGTTTTTCTTGATCATCATACTTTCCCTGTTATAACAGCCGGGAAAGTAAAAAGAAGCATATTATATTGTGGAATAAAAAATGCTTTTTATAATAACTTTATTGGGTGTTTTTAATAAAAAAAAAAACACCTAATAAAGTTTAAAATAAATTAAAATTTTAAAACTAAAGACATTGTTTCAAGAAACACTTTTAAAATATATATAAAAATAATTATAACTTATTTTCTGATGTATGGTACCTCTACAGTAGAATTAAAATTTGAGCAATGCTAAAGATAACGCAAGGCCTCAGGCTGTTTCCTACCAAAAGGAATGCAGTTTTTCCAACTTTTCAAAAATTTCTATCAAGTTACATCCTCTTGCTACAATTTAAATTTGGCAATAAAAATGTTGAAATTAATTAAGTGTTATAGCATAAAAAAAAAATTAGGAAAACAATTGCTTTATGTGTAGGCAAGATTTACTATAAGTTACCTTTGAGAATTCTAACAAAGTAGAAGTAAATTAAAATTCCAGAAGATTGGTCCTTAAACACGTAGTAACTGACTTAAGCAACTTTTCAAAAACAAAACAATAGCATAGCTTCTAAGTAAAACCCTTGTAAACTGATGTGTGTGAATAACACACAATGATGAATGCAGCACGAAGACAGGAAAATGAGAAACAAATAATAATGCAAGAATGAATGTGAATCATTTTGTCATCCATACTTAATTTGCACATTAGCATTTTGTGCCATTCACTTATGCGGATGTCCTTTTGTAGTAAATCGGTTGCAGTCTAACTTTGTGATCAACTTTTCCTCCGCATTGCAAGTCATTTTCAAAATGAGAGTGATAACTTCCAAATTTTACTGCCGGAGGTGCCACAGGTGGTTGCCTCTTATAGCTCTTAGTTCACTTTACTAGAACTACATATGATGTTTGAAACCTTAGCTATCTGCATTTATCAGTTATGTGGGTTTATAAGGACTTTGTGCCCTGCATAAAATACAGACAAGCAGCATGCATGTTTCACTTAGGAACTATTGAAATACTTCAACATAATTAAATAAATACAACTTACAAATTATTACTAGAACAGTGAAGCCATCAACAACCTTATTACTCATATTTGAAGTTCAAAGTGTCCACTACTAACGCAGTGTCCACTACCAGTGCGTTTACCTTAATTTAATAACTTAAAATAATATTCTGGAAGACAAGAATCGGTCCAGAGTGGGGCTTAAGCCCACAACTCCTGTTTAACCTGCAAATGCATTGCCAGTTACGCTATCTGGACCTCTATCCAACCGTTTGCTTTCTGGCATATTTAGTTTTAGATATAATCATCCACAGCTATTTAAGGCACTGACTGAGGATAATTCCTACGTCCATAACCTATAATCACCCACTGTGGCACCTGGTCAGCAATTGCTTTACCCTGGCACGGTAAAGCAATAGCTACCGAGCAAATCAGACAAACCAACACAAGCAAATATGCACATCCAGGGTAACTGCATTTAGCGTGCAGCAAACACCAGATGATGCTTCTACACATGCATGCAGGAAGTAGCTACCAAGCAACTTTGATCGTCACATCCACCACTTGCACTTTCAAAGAAGAAAAGTCCGTTCATCTTCTACTTCATGATACAAATGGTGAAAGTCACCAAATCGATGACATTTCTTAAAAGACATACAATACTTATAAGAAGTTTTGGTAATAAATGTAGAAAATTGTTTTCTGCAGCAAGCATTCAACAAAGCTGCCATTTTGTAAAGAACACTCATCCATTCTGGACATGAGTCGATCGCAAGCCAGGAGTACTTTACATACTAGAATTCTTTCTGCCCATGGTCACTGACTGCCCTGTAGGATGTATTCTAAAAAATATTAATCAAATGAATACTCCAAAAAAATTTTAAAAAGATGGCATAATAATTATCTTAGTAACATATATAATGTTCAAAATTTAAAAAAAATCAACAGAAAGGTATGTACCTTTTCCATATATAAAAGAAATATTTTAATAATTCATCAATTTAAATTACACCATCCCAAATAAATAGGTTATCAAATTTATTCACTCCAAATTACTATAGAGAAAAAGATGATAAACTTGGAATGTCAGGAGTAGTGAATAAAATTATATGTACAGTACATGCCCTCAACCAAAATATTATATAGGAGAAACAGCAGTTAGAAAAGAGAATAAAAGAACACAAAGCATCCATTAGATTAAAAAATAAAGATCCGCAATGGTTTCATCATTGTATTAAAAATATTATTATATGAAAAGATCCATTAAATGAAGAATTAAAAAACATTTTTATATATTAACAATAAAATATGTAAATAACATTAATAGCACCGGATGCATGCTGGGATAAGAGCATGGTATACAGCACCACCACAAAGCGATTGTAGTATTTTCCACTGAAGAGGCCTCAACGTGTCAGACAAAATGCATACAGAAAATGTATTATAATTAAAATAAAATTCTTCATTGCGAATTATTTAATGTAGTTGTGTTTTAATACTTGGAAATTGGCATAGACTGAGCAGTTGAACTCAAAAAGACTTTTCTTGTAAAAATTTTTTTCAATAATAGATATTTCCTCATTTTCATGGTATCATTTTTTTCCATGCATCACAATTTCGACTATTTTGTGGTCAACTAAATCATTTTCAGAAAAAGTGAGACCCAATTGTGTTACTTTTTCGAGTTCATTCAGACTCAGATTAAATTTTAAAAATACCACTGTTTAAAAAATTTGATTTTTAGTCAGTACCCGAAGACAAAAATATCACTGTTCAATAGAGCATAGCCATTTTACTTATCAAAGCTTTTATAATTTTCAATTAAATTTGCTTTCCTTTATTTTAAAAGAAACATACAGATGGCCCACGTCATCCCGTTTAATGCATTAATAGTTACATTTTACCACACCGTGCCATGTGGACCCCAATGAGAGAGTCTGCAAATATGTTGGCAGGAATCCTTCGACTCGTAAAAGAGAAAACCAGCAATGAATTGCTCAATTTTACTGAAAACATTTAAAATTTTGGTAGTGCCATCTGTTATCATAGTTAAAAATATAAAAAGTTTTAAAAATATGACAAAATGGCAAAATACTTAATTTTGAGGGTAGGGATGAGTTTTTATAAAAAATTGTTAATGGTAATAATGAGTAAAATCGTCCTTACTTGAGATATACACAACTAGGGTCCAGAAGTAGTCACCCTCTCAACCTTTAACCACCAAGATTTAATATCATCAATCCCCTTAATGAACAAACCTCCCCTGCAAAATTTCAGAAATTTTTTACAAAAAGTATCGGAATTATTAATTAAGCTTCAAACAGGCCAAACAAAATTGTGTTCCCACATACAGAAATTACCCCCCCTTTTTTTTGCATTTCAAGGTGTCCCGAGCCCAAAAATGTAAAACTCTGGTATGGTAAGTTTTTCTTGATCATCATACTTTCCCTGTTATAACAGCCGGGAAAGTAAAAAGAAGCATATTATATTGTGGAATAAAAAATGCTTTTTATAATAACTTTATTGGGTGTTTTTAATAAAAAAAAAAACACCTAATAAAGTTTAAAATAAATTAAAATTTTAAAACTAAAGACATTGTTTCAAGAAACACTTTTAAAATATATATAAAAATAATTATAACTTATTTTCTGATGTATGGTACCTCTACAGTAGAATTAAAATTTGAGCAATGCTAAAGATAACGCAAGGCCTCAGGCTGTTTCCTACCAAAAGGAATGCAGTTTTTCCAACTTTTCAAAAATTTCTATCAAGTTACATCCTCTTGCTACAATTTAAATTTGGCAATAAAAATGTTGAAATTAATTAAGTGTTATAGCATAAAAAAAAAATTAGGAAAACAATTGCTTTATGTGTAGGCAAGATTTACTATAAGTTACCTTTGAGAATTCTAACAAAGTAGAAGTAAATTAAAATTCCAGAAGATTGGTCCTTAAACACGTAGTAACTGACTTAAGCAACTTTTCAAAAACAAAACAATAGCATAGCTTCTAAGTAAAACCCTTGTAAACTGATGTGTGTGAATAACACACAATGATGAATGCAGCACGAAGACAGGAAAATGAGAAACAAATAATAATGCAAGAATGAATGTGAATCATTTTGTCATCCATACTTAATTTGCACATTAGCATTTTGTGCCATTCACTTATGCGGATGTCCTTTTGTAGTAAATCGGTTGCAGTCTAACTTTGTGATCAACTTTTCCTCCGCATTGCAAGTCATTTTCAAAATGAGAGTGATAACTTCCAAATTTTACTGCCGGAGGTGCCACAGGTGGTTGCCTCTTATAGCTCTTAGTTCACTTTACTAGAACTACATATGATGTTTGAAACCTTAGCTATCTGCATTTATCAGTTATGTGGGTTTATAAGGACTTTGTGCCCTGCATAAAATACAGACAAGCAGCATGCATGTTTCACTTAGGAACTATTGAAATACTTCAACATAATTAGATAAATACAACTTACAAATTATTACTACTTTTCCAGCTTTGTTACATATAACAGAGGAAAAGTATGCTGATTGGTCAAAAAAACAACCCTACTTTTTATATTTTTAGACCTTGAAACATCAAGAAAAGTTGAAAATTTCAGTGTGTTTTTTCTGTATGTATGGATGAATGTTATTGCATGTTTGGCACAATTTTGTTCATCCACTTTGAAGCGTAATAATTCCCATGCTTTTTTGTTGAAAATTTCTGAAATTTTGCAGGGAGGTTTGAATATTGGGATTATTGCTATTAAATTTTGGTTGTTTAAGGTTGGGGGCGGGGAGATAGAGGCTGGTCTTGCGGACTTAATGATGATTTTACTCGTTATTAGCATACAATTTTTTATAAAATTCATCCTTCCCCTCAAAATTAAGCTTTAAACGGCAATTATATAAATAAAAGTTAAGCAACTCATTGCTGAATTTGTTTTCTTAATGTATCATTGCATGCTCACAACTTATCAAATGTTTATTTTAGATATTAAACATTAATCTTTTAAACATCTGTTTATGGATAGCTAATAAAATTTTTGATGAATAATGCAATAAACTATTTATGAATCTCAGCATTTTTTAAGATACACAATCATTAATAAAAGCAATAATTCAGATGAAGTTATCAAACAAAAGAAAAGAAAGAATCAGCAATTTCTTTATAATGATGATAATTTACATGGCAAGATTAATTCCTGTAATTTTCTATTGGATCTTTCTCATTAATTTAAATAAATGTATTTAAAATTAATTTATACTAAATTATCGGTACATTTTATTTTCATAACATCCGAGAAGTTGTAACACAATAAACTGTATCATCATTTCATATATCGCATCTAATTTATTCATAAAAGGCACATTATTTTGGTTTTGAGCTATACTTAGTTTTACGTAAATAAGGTTCTCTGATTTCTTATGGATATCTCTGCAAGTCAAATTACTTCCACTTGCAAGAATATTTGCCAAAAGCTATAAAATTGAAGTGCAATTTGCTATGATAATCAAACAGAAAACGATTTTCCAAGCATAAATTTCATAACAGATTTACCGTATTTCCTCAATTAAACCCTGAGAATAAAGGTGCCATTAAAAATAAACCCCAGAAAAACACATCAGAGTACCATAGCACATAGGGTAATGTACAGTGGAAGGCAAGAAGTTTAACTTAAAATTCTACCCCTTCCAATCATCTATAGTCAGACAGAATTTTCTGTTCCAGGGTTTGCGGAAAAATTCTGCAAAATAAATTCTAAAGTAGTCGAATACCGAGCATGTAAAAGTCACGATTAAGTTTGTAAGTTGAGAGCTTTTTGGCCAAAGGGTAATTAGAAAAATTAACCAGAAAGAGTCAGCAAGAGGTTGAAAGAGAGACGAACGACAATGTAGTAACTAAATCGAAAGATGACAAATCAGGTTATCCATGAAAATGGTAATTATTTCAAATGCCATAGCTGTAATCCACAAATATGATCAATAAACGATTTGGACAGTTTGGAAAACATACGAGTAATTAAGGTATTTCTTTCAACTTTTACCCACCGTCTCCCATTACAGGGTGATAAACCCAGCTTCATAAAAACCCCAGAGGTAGGTATACCTGAAAAACATATCCCCAGAATTAATTCAAGGAAATACAATACTGTATTTATGTCCCAGATTGTTAAATAAGTTAAGTAATAATTATTATTGGTTCTTCAAATTATAAATAACAAATAAAAATTATGTCAATAATTAAACATAAGTGTTTGTACTCTGTATGCTGTTATTGTTCCTTAAGATAATCCCAAAAAGCAAAGTTCAGAATTTATTGTAGCAATGCTAACTTTTATATCAAAGAAGTTTGTAAGTCCAGAGCTTATCGGCGAAAGGTAATTAGGAAAATTCAAATCGGAGAGAGACGGTGAGAGTCTAAAGAGATTAAAGTTTATCTAATTTTAAGATCACAAGTCAAGGTTATTAACTTGTATCAGTTTACTTTATATAAAATATACAAAATTTGTCATTTTACATTTCACCACCGAAATTAATTTTTTGTCGAAATTGACTTTAATATTGTTGGGAAGAATAAAAATTTAATGATAATAAACTTAAATTTCCAAATATTTTCTTTTTTTTATAAACATTTCCATTTGCTTTACAATTTTCTATTGATATCAATATATTGATGATGACTTGTGTGAGCCAATGTCACCGCATAATCTATACTATGCTAGCTTAGTATAGTTCGGCATATTTCTCAACTTTTTCTCATTGCAGACCAGTACTATTATAAATAATTTTACATAAACTGGTATTTATATGTAACTATGAATTATGCTTATCTAGAATTACTGTATTAACTTTGTTACATATAGTAACTCTAGATTACTATTTAAATGTCAACAGTAATCAATTATGCCAGTGTCGTTATGGTCATATATTTTTATGTGGACTGGTAGTCGAAAGACACTGGTATAGCTTATGCAGCATATTAATTTTGCTTGTTATGGTCATGCCGATGTACAACAAAATAGGATATACAGTAAGCAATGGGGCCAGACATATCCAAAATTCAATGTCAAATTCCGGCTAGGATTTAAACTCTACTGAGTGGAAAGCTCAAACTTACTATTGTAACTGTTCTGACAGCAATTATACTTTATAATATAATAGTAGAATATTTTGGGAAGTGATATAGCAATTAGTCGTGTCATTAAATTCCTGTAGAATGATTTTATAAATTTAAATAAATAAGTATGTAATTAATTACTCATGTTTCTTAGTCCGACTAATTTTGTACACTCGCTCTAATTTACATTTATAATAATAAAGATCACTGACGCACCTCTTGTAAAAACACAAAGTCGTAATCGGAACTGGCCAGGTGGGAGGCGATGGCTATTATTCTCTCCTTCCTATTCTTGCTGATGCCGACGATTCCCCTAATTAAAACAAAATACAGTAAACTTTATTGATCGTTACAATTGTGTCAACATTGAGAGATAAACTAATACAAATGTGACACGTTTAACAACAAAACATTAAGTTTTATATAGTTTCTCCAAGGGGATGTAGGTCGCGGAATACATGCACAAAATTATGTTAAACTCATTAAAGATCAAGGTCAACATTCTTGCAGATGTAAAAATTTCAATGCAATTATGAAATGGGTCATCTCTACTTTATTCGACATTTGAAAAACCGGAATTAAATAATTTTTTTATTTATTTTTATGCTCTAACGAAGAGTATTCTTATAGCTTATGTCAATTCTATTTATGTAATCTTGATTATTTATCATCTATGTGCCATTAAAAAAATATGTTTTGATGTTTGCATAATCATCTATGAGGCTAACTTGATTGACAATATATAAATTCTATGTTTTTTAGAGCTAAATTAATGTTCAAAACTAAGTATCTACATGTTATTGCAAACTTAATTCTATATTTGTCTGTGTATATATATATATATATATATATATACACACACACACACCGACAAATATAGAATTAAGAACATATATGTAGAATTATAAAATTAATTAACATATATAAAATCAAGTACACTACACTGGGACTTTTTAAAATAGTGTTTTGAATTTTAATCAGTCCCTCTACTTCAATCAAAAGTGTAGATATTCTAATAAAATCAAAAATGCGTCACTCAGAACAAAATTTCCCAAGAATTTTCTAAATTTTAGAAGTCTTAAAAACCATTCTACCCGACTCTGGAAACCTTGTTTTATTTTTTAACTTCAAAAATGGCAGTTTAAAGTTAACGCTTGCTCACACTAGTAGTAGTTAAAGCTTGTTCTATCAGCGTGACACACCAGAGGCAACAGTTACATCTCTCTAAAGTTCTATTTACAAAACTGCAGTGCAAGACCTATAGGAAAATGGCATAAGAAGAAACAGAAGCCAAATCAAAATCTATAAGCAGCAGAATCAAAAAACTAAATCCTCAGAATCTGATTATAAATTAAAAAATGGAGAACTTTCCTTTAAAAACATGTTAAATGAAAGAAGCTCAAGTTTGACAACATAGTGTATACACTAACTTATTAATTAAAATATCACAATTCTTGATATTCATTATTTAAGTATCACAGAAAAGAATCTACTAGGGATCATCCTTTAATTACGCACACAGTTCAAGGAGGAGAGGTTGCAAAAAATACTTCACCATAGGTGACAGTGAGGAAGACATCGTCCACATGGAAATTCCATAGTATTAGCGGCACACACGTTTGCTTTTAAAGTCCATCTACTAGTAATGTGACTAAACTATCGCAGAATATTTACAGAACTTTTTGAGTTATATGTTTGGCGACAAGGGCAGTACCGGGTAGGGGATTTGCCAGAAGTACGGTATGTCATGGTACACAGTAGGAAAGGGGGTGTCGAAGGCGACTCGAAAGCTTTAAAGGACGGCCCCAAACACACACACCTCTCTTTTTAAAACATATGTCATCAAACACGCCTGGCATCAAGCCCACTTATCTGCAACACTCTAAAGTACATCATAATCAAATTTCCTCTAACCAATTCTTAAAAAATTCCTCTGAATCTATCAACTAAGTGTATATGTACAGTACATCTCTCTAGTGATCACCGTATAGGGTTATACACTGTAGAAATGACCTTTTACAGAAAAAAAATAAAAAAATACCACACTCTGGTCTCATCTCAAGTAATTACTAGACACTTGTCTTTAAATTAACGAAAAAATGGCCAGTATTCCTTTTATTATCCACTCCTTCGTCGATTTAAAGTAATAAACAGAGAGCGTAAGGGATACGAAACGAGTTAACAGTAAACAAGGAAAGAGATAAAAAAAAAAAAACACGAAGCAACGGACCGACAGCCGAACGTTCGAGGCACGTTTCTAGGTAAATAAGTCAGTGGATCGACCGGGAATCTCCGTTCCATAGCATCGATGACGCATCGTGCTGCTAATGCTTGGCTTTAAGGACGATTCGGCGACCGTAAACTTATTTAAAGGGAGCAAAGCGACTTACCAGACGTTCAGAGTGAAAACCTTAATCTCTAATTCCATCTTCATTCCTTCCCTCGACACTTATTTACGATTCTCGGGCTGAATCGACCGGCCGCTCCATTTATAACTTACGTTGGCCGCGACGACGATGACCGGCCACAGATGGCGCCACTAGATCGGAAGTTCCGCAGTGGAGACGACGTAGGAGGAGTTTATGACGTGGTAATGGCACCGACTAAACGTCACGTCGTTACTTCTGCTGTTTGGGTTACGTGCGGTGGAAATTGTTTACGTCGTATTTATTCTCCTCTGTTTTCCTCCGTTAAAATTAAAGAACGGAATTAATTCGGTCGTTAAGGTGCGCGAAACGTTTTTATTCCAACACGTCGCCCCGGTTCGTCGGTAGACAAGATGGTGGAGGTCTACGATGCAGACGTTTCCATGTTAATACGAGTACCGTACTTTATTTAAAATGTCGACAAATACGGGGCAGACGTAATTAAAGTTTTTTTATTCGGAACATTGTAGCTATACCGATAACCGGGTCGGCACCGTAATTTGCATACGCACCGTACAAAAGATGCGTTAAAGACTTATGTAAAAACACAAAATTATGTTCTGAAACCTCCGCTAGGGGGCACTTCATAGAAAAACAAAGCGCCCCAGCTGAAATTTATGAACTATTTTTTTTCCTTTTTTTTGCAAAACTTCCGCAGGGGCGCTTTATTTTTCTATTAAGTGCCCCCTAGCGGAAGTTGTTGAAGTAAATTTCACGTTTGCAAAATCTATATACGGATTTTTGTGTCGATCCACTTATGGATTACGGCCGTCTGTGTCGCAAATAGGAAAACTTCAATTATGGCCACACTTTGCATAATAAAAGCATTAAGCTTAGTTCATACTGAGTGCACTTCGCTGGCGAAAGCAAAAATTCCATCAAACATGACTCGTTTAACAGTTTATTCGCTTTCACCAGCAAATCACACTCAGTGTGAACTAAGCTTTACAGGCCAAAGATTTATTAGAAGTTTCTAGAAGTTCTTAAACCTTATATTTAAGTTTCTGAGTATGTTCTACCCTTTCAAATACAGTATTTGTAAACTTTTGAAGGCACAGTGGCCAATTATTATCTGCAGATCTATGTAAGGAAACCGGGTTTGAATCCAATCCAGACTCTTGTGACTAACTGGAGGGCATGTGTTATTGATTCTCACTTGGGCACTCACCGGTGGGCCAATGGAAAAATCAACCAAATATCCGTAGCCAGTTGCGAGTTTGTGCCCAACTGACACCAATCACGGAAAGTTTTCTGGGTTTCTTCACGTGTCTTAATTAATAGGGAGCCGGTTTCCCATATTAAGTCCTATCGAGAAGCTCTTCTGCAGCAGATCACACACATGTTGCATTGCCTTACTCCATCGACCTGCCCCTTGTTTTTAAAGTATGGGCAAGATGGCCGTTGTACATAAATGGCAATGGCACTCGATACCAAATACACCAATATAATTTCTATAAATGGTATTAGAGAGCATCCAATTATACTTACCATCAATTTTTTGATTACATGCCCTCCGAGCACTAGAGGACTTTTTTTATAGCACCTACTGTGAGTTCGGCTAGGCTAAGGGTAGCAACTGGCCATGTTGGCAAAGTGTAGACTGATCCACCAGTAGCAGTAAAATGGTGAAGTTATGGTCTAAAATGATTCTACATGTGATTCTCTGTTATGGGCACTATGAGGGATTTTTCCCAGGCTCGCAAGAGAAGTGGCCAGCGGAAGGACCAAGTATGTCTCAAAATATCTGAGACAGTTCTTGAAAAATTATTGAGATTCCTGACATGGTCTCAAACCGGGAACCTCCAGACATTCTTATGGGTGTCAGTCTTATTTCAACACCCAATATTGGACAAAAAAAGAAATTGCCATTCAGAAGTCCATACCACACGAATTCATTTTGTAAATTTGGATTTAAATTCTATTTGTATCATTGTAAATTTACCATGGATAATTTGGATTAGGGCACAATTTCACCTCCACTCACATTGGTTGGTACCACTGCAGTCGGTGGCCAGCAGAAGAGTGAAAAATAACATTCCGAGATCCACTGCCTGTAGTAAATTTGACCAGGCCTACCGCAGAAGAAGATAATTTTGAGGAACTTCGAGTCAAATGTGGTCCCTCCAGAACAGCAGGCAGATGTCTTTACTACTTTGTCCGTTCGATATTGGTTCACACTGCTTGTAAATTTTGCCATGGCAGCTGGATTTCCAGAGGTTGGATCACACTATTTGGGAAATTTCACACATTGTTGCGCAAGATAACGCTTGGCTGGTGCAGCCACAGGTTTGAATCCCACTCGAAAGTAAAGAACTTGTTATGGAAAAATCAAATGGGAGCATAAGAAATAAACTCAACCCACAACGTCCAAAAATATCTGATTTTTAATATTAAAGAAATGTTTGAATACAGTTTTCAATGCGAGATAACAACTAAAAGCCATATATTAACTTTATACATTTAATTTGTTATTTAAATAACTGTACATAATTGAAAGTATATGGACAACAAATAAAAAATATAAACATCTGATATAAAAATTAATATGTATATACACATATATAATATTTGACATATATATGTATATACATATATATACATTGTTGTTTTTTGCATAATTTGAAATCCTTTCTTTCTTCTTATTTCGTGGCAATGTGCTGCACTCCATGGGAGTGATGAGGTAAGAGAGGTCTGGGTCAGACGTGAATGACCCTCTCGGCCGTTTCTGCTGACGCCGACACCGCATTGCTCAGGTTCCTCCTGTTCTGCTCCAGTTCGGCCTTGTGCAGGGCCTCCCGGGCCAGGTATCGTTGGCGCTGGATCTTCTGCTGCACTGAACGAGGGATGTCGGGAATCAGGTAGGCCACCAGTCCCGTGAAGAAGAACACCAGATGCTGTGATACAACAAAAACCATTTCAGTTATTCTGTACCATGTGAGCAATTTCCATTTTTTGTTTCTGCATTAATGTTTCAGAATAGATTCAAACTAATCCCATCCGTGTGTATATGTATAACTTACATCATAAATCAATAATCAATAAATATGCTTACCTCAAAAACAACAACAAAACTAAGTCGGGCTGCAAATATATGCCAATATTCCATCGATAATTTGTATTTTTTCGGTTCTTCGGGAGGATAGCGATAGTCTTGATATCTAAATTAAATTAATTTATTATAAGTTAATGTAAAAACAAATGAAAACATCATGTATAATTATGCTTAATGTTGTCATTTATTTTTATTTGTCTGTATTCTAAATGTACATTTGTAACAGTTATATATTGTGGCTTTATTATGTAATAAATGCTAAAACTGACATCTGTATTATGTATGCATTCACATACATGTAAAAACGTAACATATAAAATTTGACATAAAGGAATCACCAAATATAAATATGGACCTATTTGCACCCTTAACAGAATGTGTAACTTTCAAGACATGCCTGGGATTGGCCAATCCTCAGCATGTCTCAAAAGTCCAGCAGAGGATGAAAAATATAATTAGTTGTTTAGAATATTAACCACTTGTGCTGATATATTGGAAAAACATTTATGATTAAAATGTTAGTTCAATGTTAACGATACTAATATTTTCCCCAGTTTCTTAAACATAAATTAGTATTAAAGGTTTCTGTAAAAAAAATACATCCTTACAATGAAAATTTTACTTAAATACTGTAATTCTTTTATCGTTCTTATTTTATTTAGAAGTGTTAAATTCTATTTTATGCTTCAAAATCAAATTGAAAATAAAATATTTAAATTTAATCATTTTAAAATAACAACAACACTAAGTAATGAATAAATAGAACTTATAAAATTATTACCTGCATATTTTAATTGTAACATTATTTAAAGTTGACTCTAACGGTTTTATTTTCTCAGGAAAATCTGAGGTATTGAATCTGGACAGTGAATTGTTAATGTATCCCCACAGCGTCCCGTCGCTGCTATATACGCTCGTGTACACCAGACGCGGGATAAAATCACTGGTGTAAGCGATCATAAAAGCCTACAAAGATAAGTTTTGATTAAAGACACATTCAGATAGTAAAAATATTTATGGTATTGTAAAAAAATTAAAATTTCATCTGTAATTATTTCAATGATGTTGTTAATAATGTTTGAATAATCAATAATTAAAATTTTGAGAAATTGAAGTTTTCAAGTATTATTTAGTTTCAATAAGATACAGTGTACCCTCACTAATCCTATACTTACTTATTGTGCATAATTGCTCGAATAAATGAAAAGTATGGATAAATGGAATTCTACGTAAAGGAAAGGTAGTCTGAAAACATATACAGTAGAACCTAGATTATATGGACTAATTGGGGATGAAGGTAGTCCGGATAAGGAAAAATTCAGATAATCGAAACAAATACTTTAATTTGTCTTTTCATGATAATACAACACGTTTTCTTTTCGATGACATATTGGTAATATTAAAAATAGATACTGTATTTAAATTGTGATCAAATTTTCAAGAAACAAATGTTTGTATTGAATTTGGACTACTATTGACCAGCGCTAACAGACTATCTATTGTTTAAAAGGCCATCTGGTTACGCAAGAAGACGGATTTTATAAAATAAAAAGCAGTTGAAACTGCATTTTTATGAATAAAAATTTGACAAACTATTTATCGTTTTATGATGAGTAAAATTTTTTTGTCCCATTCATGACTTTTAAATAATGCATAAACCTTTGAGGCGTGAGGCCCTTCAGACCGCGAGGCATAGGAGGTGGCCCATGTTGCCCATGCCTTATGCTGCCCTTGGTCATAGAAATGATGTACTGTAATTTGAATATAAATTATTTATAAATATGTATGTCAAGTTATATCTTTATTATGACACAAAATATATTTAAGAGTTTACGACCAATGTGCGGGGTGAGAAACTTTTTTTGTTGAAACAAAAAAAAAATATGCATTCCATCACGTACATAAACAGTGTTGTAATTCGCCAAGTGCAAATCAGCAAATTCATAAAATTTTTGTTTATTTTGAACAATCCGGATAATCAAAAATCCAGTTAATCAAGGTTCTACTGTATTTAAAACATTTTTACACTGTATTTAGTTTGTATATTTGTATTAAAATATGTAGTATAGTACTGTACATACTAATTTTACAAATTCATTCATCTTTTTAAAAATAATAATACATTTCATTTTATTTTTTGAAAGAATGTTTAGTGAAATTGTGTTTCAGATTAAGTAGAGCAACCTATACTTTGTTATTTAGTTATACAGGACTACTGTATTCTATTAAAAAAATTCTCTAAATTCATCAGAATAATAATCACAAATGAAAACAATGTTTAAATTCAACAATTTAATTCATTTATACAAATTTTCTTATTTATATCTAACACAATACATTAATTAATAATAAAAAGATTAATAATCATATATCAATCTTATTATATATTATTATTATTATTATTATTATTATTGTAAAATTGTAAAAAAATGAAGAATAGCTTTGAATTAGATATAATATAAAAAATAATTTCACCTCTAATTATAGAAAATTTTCTATGTAAGAACTAATCTAATATGTACTGTTCTATATAAAATATAAACCAGTATAGTTATTGTTAAATATTAATGAAGTATGAATATTAGATGGCAGAATGACCAAAACAGCCAAACTCTAGGGACCCAGAATCAAATCTGAGTAACTCCCATTCTCAGGGGTGACTTGTTCTGGATATGTTGGGTCCCATCCCTCACAACCCGCCACCACATTTTTGGTCCTGCCAGACCCATGATGGTAATAGAAAAAAACATCCTTTTGAGCCCACAAGGCAAAACGAGTTATAAAAAGTATTCAAAGTATAATATTTGTAGAATAACAATTTTAAAGAAAATAAATGTATATAGCTAATGATAAGTTTATACAAATAATTTATATTATCATCAAAAATCTACATCTTCATACGAAACAAATAGAATTAGTGTTTTTTCAATAACCTCTTTTACAAAAATTCTAGCTTAGAGATAAATCTATGAAGTTAATAGAGACACTTAGATGGATGAGGCAGTAAGACCAGCATGCTGTTCAGTATAACAGGGACATTAGACATTAGTATACAAAAGAGGGGGATCCTCCAGGTACCACTCAGAGGTATGACCTGTAGGTGGAAAAAATGATGAAAGAAGAGAGAGAGAGAGAAAAGGGGATGAAATATGGGTCAGAGTATAGATGAGATCCCAGAGTGCCTGCATGGATTTATTGAACCAAAAGGAAAAATACATAATACAGTAGACCCCCCCTATAACGCAGGTTCAAATAATGTGGATTCATATATCGCAGCGAAAAAATTGCGACCATATTCATATAAGGATGTTAAAAGACTCGTAAAATACGGTAAAACGTCATCGCAATAGTGGACGAGAAGCCAAACTACTTTCTGCCATTCAGCACCACGCTACGGAGATTTTAGGTGGGCAAGTTGAGTTTACTATCATCTGTACAGTATTATATTTAAATACAGTAGTGTAAGTCTAATACAGTACTGTAATTTTATACATTTCTTGTGAAAAAAACATTTCTTATTCAACGGCCATAAAAATTATTTCTATTAATGATGTCTCCAAAGTTCAACGAATTTTTCGCAGAAAAATAACTTATCAGAAAATGCGGCTGCCATTTGGTGCACTGCTCCGCGACAAAAACAAGCTTAAGTAATGGCGTCATCGAACAATGCACACTCGGTAAGTAATCCTACAATTTTTCGTTTATAGCATAGTTTATATGGATTATTCCCAAAAAATTATACAAAATTTGGAAATGTTGAGTCAAATTAGTCTAGAATCGATTAATTTTATGGAAGAAAACCTTTCAAACAGTCGTAGTCCATAAACTGCCCACGTGACGGGCTGTGATTGGTTCACGTATTTAAGGATTCCTACAACACGAAATTCTTATAAAGCGGAACATATCTACCGCGTTATAGGTTGTACAGAAAAATAGGTAACAATTATGTACATTGGTGCCTTAACAGTACACCAGGGCCAGAATCCAGGTGGCAAATAATCTCAGATATTTTTCACAAACATCAGGTGCTGATGTTTCTGAAAAATTCCTGATATGCAGATGTGGGGCTTGAATCCACAACTTCTGCTTACTGTGCAAAATGTGGCATAACTTGCAACAACCTGCACAATAAGCAGGAGTTGTAGGTTCAACTTCCACTCAGGGTAGTTGAACCTACAACTTTTCTTCCAACATATTCTAAATTTAAATTGAAAATTAATTTATTTCTAATTACTAAATTTACCAAGAAATAGCAGCCTAATTAGTTGATTTCCTGAGTCTGTTAAGGGTTCAACTGGGTTCATGATGGAACATCATGGGACAGACATATACAGATGGACCACCCAAAAAAATTCCAGGGTATATTTCAATTTGTCCCTATTCATTCCCCAAAGCAACACGCTGCCATCTTAACCACTTGGTCATCCAAGCAATGTGTATTTTGCCTGTTACAGGATGCTGAACTTTCAATTTCTACTTTATATTCTATCAATCCAAAAAAAATGAAAATAAAATTTTGCTAAATTTAAAAAAAAATGATTATAGATTATCTGTGCTTTATTAATCTATTGTCATTTCCAAGATCTTTCATAGAAAATTTCTCTATAGATTCTTCTTGAAGCTTTTCTCACACAAATTTATAAAATCAAGTCACCTACCACATTAAAAGCTCAAAAAAATAAGCTGATATATTAGTTGAGATTATACTTAAAATATCGTATTTCTTAAAATCCCAGTAAAAACTTTAATATATAGTTTATGACTGCACTGACCAAACTGTGGCTCACATTTGGCTCTTCTAGTCCCTTAATGCAGCTTACACATATGTACACATTTTCTTTTTACAAACTTGGTACACAAAAATATTACTTGTGTAAGTAGTAAGTTTTCAGACTATTATGTAATTTCATATATATACAGATTGTAAGTGTATATCACACTACATAACCTTGAACAAGCAACTGAAAGCTATAAAGTACATTCATAAAGTCAAAGGAGTTAAATGTTATTTCAAAGGAGTCAATCATAAAGTACCAGTGATATTTACTATAGAATAATGATAACTAAATAATAGTGTTTTAACTATATATAATATACAGGATACAGCTGTTATATATTTCTGATAGGCAATATAAAGCTCCTATAGTGACAAGGTTTGGTCACCCCTGGTAAATTACATATCCATTAAAGTAAAATACAGCAACCAAAACAGAAAATGTAACTTTAGTTTCTAGTGTAAAAAGATATGTTATAACTTCTTTGTCAAATAATTACTTATAATGATAAGATAAATATAAAATGATTAAAATATCTCATTTGATACATGTTATTGATAATTAGACAATAAATATAATCTGTAATGTTAATTAATAATTTCGATATTATAGATTACATTACGAAATGTGTTATTAACTTACATTGCTAATCACAGCTAATGCAGATATAGATTTAAGAATTGCTTGCCACGCTCCTAAAATAAAAAGTTTGTATAATTAAAAATAATCTCAAAATAAATTATTACTAATTTAAATTATTCTTACCTATATTTGGTACTTGAGCAATTACCGGCCTACGTAATTGAGTCACATATTTATATGCATCTAATCTAATTTCAACAATATTATTTAATAAGGCAAATAATGGGGCTAGAGGAAAGGCTGCAACAAATAGAGTCACAAAACCAAATTGAATCACTGGAAATAAATGTATTTTAAAAATTAAAAAAGATAAAAACCATTTCAATATTTAAAAATAGAATAAAATAGTTTCATAAATCTAAATCTGCCAAAATCAATTAGAAATTTTATTTTAAAAATGCTTTGAACTGATTATTTCTAACCAGAAGTTTCTTACAGATTTTATATTTAATAAGAGATTATTCCACTTCCATATATATAATACACATTGATTATGCCATCACATATTCCTTTAAATTTTTACAAAAACATTGTAATTATATAGTCATTGCTCCTATCAAAAGATGCTAACTTCTCAGGAAATAGTGCGCATTAAGTGAAAGTATACTTTCCTGCACTATGATGATATATTCTAACTTAGGAAAGATTCTTTATATTGTTTAAAATATTAATAAATTAATAAATATGTATATAATTTGAAAAGCTATATATTTTTACTCCATATTCTATACAGCAGTTTTGTAGAAATAAACAAAAGTAGATAACAGCATACTTAGAATATATACAGAAGCAGAAAAAAGAATCTATTATTAAATATAAAATATATCCTTTAGGAAACTTCTGAATGAAAAAAATCTATCTGAAGTTAAACTAAAACAGAAGTTACCTAATTTAGAAGACATTTTGAGAAGTTGCCATTTAGTTAATGATTACAAAATAAGTGATATTCTGCTGTGCTTGACACACAGTTTGAGAATTAACTAATAAAATCTAAGCTTTAGTCAACTGTATTGAAAATATTAAAATCTTATCATAATGACCTGACAGTTACATGAAAATTAAATCAATCTTTCAATTTGAAGTCACTAATCCTAATAAATTGTGAAAAATTAAAAGAACTGTGAAAATAATATGTAAATAAATAACTCTTAAATTTAAAAAAAAATCAAATTATCAAAATTCATAAAGGCCTCTTTTAATTTCAAAATCAATTTGAATTATATCACTGAAACAATAAATTATTCAATATTAAAAATGTTCTACAGCCATGGTGGCCAAATTGTGGCTTTCCTAAAACCTTATTGCAGCTCCCATATATTTAATTATTATATAAAATACTGTTTCAATAGAGAATGTAGCTCTTGTATTTATGATAGGCAATATATGGCTCCTGTGATGACAAGGTTTGGCCAGCTCTGCTCTATCATTTAAATTTATTAATTCCAACATAAAAACTAATCTATATTAACAATGACACAAACAAAGATGTTAAGCAGCATTTCACATTTATTCAATTTAATAGATATTCTATTTAAAAATTAATAAGACATTTAATGATGAAATAAATACTGTTCACAAATAATTTAATTTGAAACTTGACTTTGTTTTATAGAAAATAAAATAATCAACAGTGAAAAATATTAAAATGATGTTTTTTGACTACACCTGATCACTTGTCACACTATTTTTATTTACTATTTAATTTAATTTTTATTTCATTTGTTTAAATAAAAATTAAATAAATTTCAAAAATCTTGCTTACCCATTTCCAAATATTCATCAAAGAGAGCCATTCTATCACATTCTAGAAGATTATAATCTTGTTCCCAACGTGTCGTAGCTTCGCGAGTTGATAGTCCCTCTCGACCCCTCCACCACTGCCTCCACCAATTCATTATTTTTCTAAAATATATAATTATTAGACACTTAATTATTTTTAAATATTTGAAATTTATATTACAGTATCCCTTGATTAACACAGTTAATTAATCCCTTGATTCTACCATATATATAAAAATTGTGTTAATGAAAATATGGTATCTATTTTGAGTAAAGCCACACAAATTAAAACTTCTGCCACATGTATATAGAGATTGCCACAATTAATTTCATATGTTAATCAAATCCCACATTAAGCAAAACTGTATTAAGCAAAGGATACCTGTATATTACAATCATAATTTGCTTTATTATTTATATGTGACAATGCAATGATCAATTACAATATTCTACAATTAATCAAACATTTTTTGACTTGATAACAACCATAAGTTATCATTATTTGAAGTGGCAACTATTCTGAAATCTCACTAGTTGTTGAGACAGATAATAAACTGTCTATTTTCTTAGTCTTATTGATAATTTGTTAGTTTCCTCTAATATAATGCTAATGATAGAATGCCTATCTTAATAATTACTTTAAATCTGCATCAAAATTTCTTGTTAACACTATTGAGGAGTTGAGATATTAAACTATTTTCTAAACAATCTTTGATAAATTATAGATGCACTGCAAAAGCCAGGAAATACAATCTATAACACAGACTCAAGTTCATTCAAACATACAATGTGTCTGAAAAATTACTGTGCAGTGGAAAAAGTTTAAGTTGGACTCTTCAGCAATTGTTTCCTGGAACTCGAAAACTTTCTCTTCTTGACAGCTTACCAGTTGCAGGAAGTGTCTGAAGCACTGCCCATATTGCAAAATTTGGCTATCAAATTTCACATGGCATTATAATGGAGCACCCACACATCCAAAAATTTCTGGACAAAGCTTTGTTGCATGGTATCCATGAATTTTCTATTGTTACAGAACACACTCCACCAGGAATATTTGCTGCTCAATCATCAACACCATTACCACTCAGCCAATACAGACTTGCACTCTCATTCTCAGTCAACTGTATCTGAATGAATGTAAGTAAGCATTCCAGAACATCTGTGAACAAGGTAATAATGCCATCTACTGCAAAGTGGAAACATAGGACAGACAATTTACACAACTCATATGCAATTTTATATGTATAATTTTAATGTCATTACAAATTTCTCACTTCATAGTAACTTCTCAGACACCCTGTACAACATTGTGCATATAGGCAGTATTTACACAGCAATATAAAGTATTAAAATTTATTTGTTAATCCTTTAAAAGAGATTTATTCATTAAGAACAACAAAAATGAAACTTACGTGTAAAAGAGTTCTGTAATATTATTTAAAATTTGTTTTCCAACCATAACAACAGCAAGTTGAATACATACTTCAAATAAACATCCTCCAAGCTCACACTTCAAGAAATAATTAAATTATTAGAATCTGCTACTTTTTTTTACATTATAAAAAAATTATTTTTGAATAATTTCAAATATTAGTAATAAAAATATTTTAACTGTTTAATAAACTCAAAAGTTTATAAAAATATTGAGTTAGAAACTTGTTTGAATTAATTCTTAATTTATTCCCAACAAACAAACATCTAAAGTATTATCCCTAGGGTATACATTATATTTAATAAAAATAATAAAATAAGAAAAAAAATTATATATTTTAGGATTGGTCCCATGTCCATTGGAAATATGTCAAATTCTCTAAAAAACTAATCTTTCAGAACACATCTATCTTCTAATGAAATTCTTGTTATATATTTGTGAAGAATTGAGTGCAAATGTTATTTTCTGGGGTTGTTATAATTTGTTTGATTTTTACTTATTTTGGGGTATTTGTTTTGTTAAAAAGGCAAAAAACCTGCACTCTTCATTCAAAATTGATCTCTATTAAAAGCTGAAACTGATTTGTTTCAGCTTGTAAGTAACAGCTGCAGAGTAAAGCTGAAGCTTTACCCTGCAGCTGTTACTTACATCATCAGGTTCCAATGGCATCTATAATTTGGTGAATTAAAGATGGTCATTAAATCATTATGTCAGAGGGTAATTTAATCAAAATAACAACAATAATATTCTGTCAAATATGGTATGACAAAATTGTTAGCAAGAGAAAACTGTAAAACAATCATTAGCAAGTGCATATGTAAATGAGCATGCAGTAATGTTAAATGTGACATCACATTTGATAATTAAACACTATAAGAGAACCAAGATGCAATTTTTAGTATAGTTCAAATTGAAAGTGCTCCAATTGTGATAAATAAGTAGTTACTTGGAAAAAAGTTGCTATTGTAAGTTTGATATAAATTATAGAATTGTATATCAGAGGCTGAGATTTAGATTTAAGTTAGAAGTTAAGAGGTATTTCTTGTTGGGTAAAATCTGTTAAACCTTTTTTGCAGTTCTGATTGATTCAATTGTTAGAGATAGATTAAATCATTTTGTTCAATAGTAGTCGTTCAAAACAGACTACATTGTGTACCAGTTAAGTTATTATTTTTGACTTTATGTTGTTCAGAATAATTATTATTTGTTCAAAACTAAGTAATTTTTATCCTATAATTATTGTTGTAATTACCTAACATACTAGTGTACTAATGTTAATTAAACTTTAATAATGGAAACTTGCTAATTATAGCTTGAACTACTGGTGTTTTGTGAATGTTAAGTGTGATTTTAATCAGTTTTATCTGCTCTGGACTTTTTAGTTATTTAATAAATTACAAAAGTTTGGGATTACTGGCCTTATATATTGATTATATAACATATATAAATTTATTTTTGTGTGCGCCATCAACTGACCAACTCGATATTAATAATTCAAAAATTGATGGTGTTCAGAATGAAGTTTGAGTTCATTGTTATGTTTCTTTGTTTTATTTCTTAAACCCATTTTACATATACAATATAAAAATTTTAATGAACTCCACATAAAAAACTAATTTTAGCTCTTTAAATCTTGGTTTCTTTCATTCAGTAAACATGGTTTAAACAGTGACTTCATTTACAGAGATGTTTATTGCTTATTTTTGATATAAGTATCAACAGACTTGTTGATTCTTATTTCAAAATTCATCCATACAGGGAAGTAAGAATTTCTCTATGTATAATTTAAAAGTAGAAACAAGAAACATGAGTTCTAGAAACAAATTCTTAAAAAAAGTCTGAAATGATATACAGAAAAATGTATAGTTATAATAATTTTTTAATCAATAACTTTTAAGAATTATTATTTATATGTATTTTTATACATGTATAAATTTACATAAAAATTATATTTGTTTTTACACACATTATAAAAGTATGTGTGATTATATTTATAAAATTAATTTTAGTAATTAGTATTTTAGGGAAAACTAATTCATAAGTATTCATAACATATATACAGGGTATTCCCCTCGAACATCCCTAATTTTAAACCATTCTGTAAAATCTATTTCTTCAGATAAGTGAAGTGAAAAAAAAAGTGTTTGTAAATGTTGGTCAATACTACAAATTTTGTTTGCAAATGCTTGAAAGGGTTGCTGCTTCTACATGGTGACAGTCATGGTGGATCTCCACTGCCGCACATCAAGATTACTGTAGCCCCCCATTTTTTGGTCTACCCAATCACTCATCATCTCTTAGAACTTTTTCTTTGTGGACATGTCAAGGATCGTGCATATTCCATAAAAGTGCCAAACATGAGAGTCCCATGTACAAGAATCATGAATGTCATTTAAAGTTATATGTGCCACCAACCAATCAACTCCACATTAATAGTTCAAAAATTGATGGTGTTCATTTTTATATAAGCAAAGAATTTATATAAAAGATGCACTTTCAATTATCATTGTCTACAGCACTACACTCACATTTATTTTTCCAACTAGGAATATGTTCAAGGAGAACACCATGTATATTTATTAAATGGACATATAAATTTTCAACACAATTTATTAGCTCTATATTGTAAGTGAATGTACATTTTTATTAATTGACATTTTTAAAATATAAAAGTGTACAATGGATTTAAATAACAAAATACATTGTAAAAGTTTCACTAACCTGATCCTGTCTATATCCAAATAAAGTAATTGTATCTCCTGGATGTCCAAAAAATCTGAAAACAGACCACATTGTCAAAATTATATAAGATAAACTAATAAAACAAAATGATAAGGTATAATACTACTTACCTTCCTTTAAAAAATGCAATGTATATGAGGGATGAATACATGTTTATGAATTCAAATAAAAACATTTTAAATGTGAAACTGTCTTCATATTCTCTTTGTGTTCTTGGTTTTTCTAAAAAAAATTATAAATTTCTTCAAAACTTGTTTATTTTGACTTAAGTTTCATGCTTCTTTTTACATTAAACAAACTGACATTATTTAATACTTTTAAACTTATCCATTTATAAAGTACAAATTTTCTAAACATGAGCTATTTCTAAAATTTTCTTTAACAGAGATTCAATGTTATAAGTAACTATTTGTTCATTGTTACGAGAATATATTTGAAGGATTTCTCAGATAGTAATTGGAAGAAAACAGAAAATAAGTTATAGATTTGGTGCAATAAGTAGTAATTTTTATCACTATAGAATGATCATTTTACTAATACATGATTTAATGAATTTACATAAAATAATTTAATAGGAAAGTTTATCAGTTATTGTACACTAGATAGAAAAATGTTTAATTATGATTTACTATACAGGTTTGTTTATTTTAAGTTTGGTGCTGTTAAAAAAATATAATGTTTAGAATATATATTTTTATAGACAGTTTGCAAAAGAAAATGAAGAGCACAAACTGGTAGTAGTTAAAGAATAACCTTATCTTCTTTCCAACGACAATTTTTAATTTAACAAACATTTTCAGTTTGATTTATAGGCAAATATCAGGTCTGAAGCCAAGCATAACATATATTGTATTCTACTTTGGCTCCAAAATCATATTAGATTTGAACTTGATGTTAGCCTATAAATTGAGCCAAAAACATTCGTTGAATTAAAAATGTTTGCTGGTAAAAAAAAATTCATTCTTTGTACATTACAGACAGACATTATCTAAATATTTTCAGACTTTATGTTTGTTTTGTTTAACTGTAAAAACAAAAAGCAATTGATTTAATTTTATAGTAAAATCTATACAGTTATAAAAACAACTTTCATTTAAATCATTTTATTAAACCATACATACCAATATTTGTTAGTTTTGTAGCAATGATTCTATATACCTATAAAAATAATACAAGAGTTTAAGCACAGTATTTTGGTTTCTAATAACAATTTCAAAATAAAAACAAGCTAAAGAAATGAATAACAATTGTTGGTAAGAACTCAATTATTGACAGAATTTAAAAATTATTTTTTTTAAAGTCAACTGGGGATTCAACAGTATAATATTTGTTGCATTTATTCTAAAATAATGACAATATTATTCAGATTTACTTGTATGCCATAAAGTTTATTTTAAAAAAAGCAATTGTCAAAAAAAGCAATTTTTTTGACAAATTTAGCTTCTGTCAGTATTTTAATTCAAATCACACATATCTTATTTACATAACTTTGCTTTAATTCAATTTTAGAATTTATTTATTTATTTATTGCATATACAAAAGGAAATATCACAAAATAATTGATATCCTCCCCTGAAAATAATGCCTGTAACAAAATATTAAAATACAAACAACAAAGAATAAAAATCAGTATGCATGATAAAAAATATACATATATAAACAAAAGATTATATATTATAAATATTATAAAGTAACCGTTTACAAATGTGTTTAAAATGTAGAAAATCTTCATGTAGAGATTGTTCCATGCATCCCATATTCTAAACAGACTGAAAGAAAAATTATCTGAAAGAAATGGAAAGCCTAAAAGATAGGATAAAAAAACAAGTTTGGTTACGAGTAACTCGTGGCAGAACTCTTAGGCACAGCTAATCAGAATGAATGGAACCATAGAAGTATTTGTATAAAAGTAAACAGTCAAAATATTTGATATGTTCAGTAAAACTGGAAATTCCCAATCTGGACTCAGCAACATTATCATTAGGGGTAAAAGGAAAGTTAGAGTGTTTATTTAGAATAAGAAATATTTTTTATAATTCTTTTAATACTTTTTGTAAATGAGATGAGGAATCCATAGCCCATATTGGCAGAAAATAATCAAGTAGAGACTGAATATTGACAAAATAAATGGATCACGAAACTGTTTTTGAGGAAATAGTTTTGCAAAAATGCCAAAGAATTCCATGGTGACTAGCTAGAGATTTAAAAATCATATCAACATGTCCTTTGAAAGTAAGTTTAGGATCAAAAATGATCCAGAGGTTATTATAAGAATTAACATATTTTATAGGATTATTGTAAATATAAAATGAGAATTACAAATGAAAATAGAATATTAAAAAATTATAGTTTAAATTTAAAATAAAGCAAAATTAGATTTGATTATTATTCATTAATATTTTTAGAAAGAGAGAGACAGATCTCATCTTTCTAGAGAACGATATTTTTAGAGAATTATTAATCTACTTCTGATCATATCAGTGAATTTATCTAACATTGAGAACTTTTATTTGACTCTCTCTGCCTTATTACAAGTGCCCTTTTATCTGGCCTATCATGAGTGTAGCAGGGACTATTGCAGGTCTGGCCATATTCATGCATAGCCAGATGATGTGGAATGGAACTCAATATATCTGGAACCAGCCATCCCCTCAAAAATTCCCAGGGAGATGTTTATCTAGATTTGATCCTGGGTCCTCCAGATTGGTACACTGATGCCTTAACCAACTTGGCCATCTGGACACCAACATTGAGAACTAATAGGAATAAGTTATCTACCATCTTTTCAGCATATAAGATGCATCTCCAGTTCAGCACAGAATGTTTAGGGAGAAGTATTTAATATATTTTAACTATCCTGCACTTCTTGGCATCAATTCTTTTTTTACTGTATTCTGGTTAAAAAATAAAGTAAAATTAGAATGCCCATTCTTGTTTATCAGGAAAGAGCAGGAATTTAAAAGAAGTCATTGAAATATTACACAAATACATGCAAAAGCAACTTAGCTATAACAAAAAATAAATAATAATTACATGTTGTTTAATTAAACAATAATATATACATTTTTATTCAAGAATTAGGCTAGGTAGATGTTATCTGTAGCCTACTGAAAGCCATTTGAAAAATTTGTTAACCTATGAGAGATTGTAACTTCAGATAAGATGCAGGGGTTCTTTTTAATGAAGTCACATTTTATATGCAAAATAAAGCAAGTAAAATTTTCTTTGGTAAGTTTTAAGTTTTCTTTAGTAAAAGTTATAACTCTGACAGTATTTATCTAAATATATAAAATTGCTTGTCCTGACTGACTCACTCATTCATTCACTGATTCATCATCGCCCAGAGCAAACCGCTTAACCTAAAGAGGTGAAATTTGGTACACAGTTAGGGTACGTCATGGAAACGCACACTAAGAAAGGATTTTTCGAAATTCCAACGCGGGGGGGNGAGAAATTTTTCTTATAAATATATAATTCATTATTTTAAAATTTGTAAATATCCTAATTAAAAATTAATTTTTAGTGTTCAGGAATTGAAGAAATAGATCGTCACTTACAGCAGTGTGGTGAATTAATGCCAACCTTACAAAGGACTGTTGACTTAGGAATTCATCCTGATCCAAATGCTGAAAGTATTAATAGAGGTATTTAAATTTTGTATTAATTTATGACAAAATACGGATAATTTAAATTATAATTATAATAATTACCTTATCCATTATTATAATAACCAACAAGTTAAGTAAAGCAGCAGATGTAGAAGTTGTCAATTTTGCATAATATCGCCACATCAGATGGTTGCTGGCATGTAATGCGGCAAGAATTGCTATGCGGTACACAATAACTCCAAACATTGCTCCAAGTACCATTATCAACTACAAATATATTTATGTTTGTTAAAGCATAAATCCTATTTAGAAATATAAATCATTTTCTTACCATAAAAAGTACGGCAGAATGTGCTCCGGCAAGCCTACCGACTTTATTCCAGAAGGGCAGAAATGGTTCCAATGTCTAAAATAAACATAAAATATCACAGTTTATTTATATTAATCACTAATGAATATTTAAATAAATGTTTGTATGATGAATTTAAAGTGTTAGCAATTTTAAGATCTGTCATAATTTTTATTAAATTAAAATTTGTACTTTCAAATTTCAATGCATAAATATAAATTTTAGGAAGTGAAGTAAAAAGCTGAAATTAATCATTTCACCTTCTTAATAAAATCAGAAGGTGGTCTTACCATGGTTACTGGATTTAAACGATATGTTAGAACTGTACTTTCATATTCGGGACGTATAATTTCCTAAATAAACTGGATAATTAACATCTATATTCATTTAAATTAATATATATATATTTTTTTACAACGATATTTATTTGCCTGTTCATGATCAAAATCAGCCAAGTCCCATTCCCATGCAATCGTGGCTTGTTTTCGTTTCCATAACTCCATAAACATTGTTGCTTTATATAAATATAATAAATATCAATATTTCATTTTACACATTACATAATTTATAAAACTTATTGTAGCTTTTAATAATTAAACTCACCCCATAGCGACATAAAAACAGCAAATCCAACTGTGGCTGGATTATCAAATAAATGTACAACCTTAAAATGAAAATAAAAATTAGTTTCACAAATCAATAATAAGTAAATTATGCTAACAACCCAATATATAACTTACTCTACTAAATAAACAACCGTCTTTCAACTGCCAGTAATCGCACCGTTTATCACACAACGGGCACATGACGTGACTACCGGAACCATTCTCATTGCAGATCTCTTGACTAAATTAAGCAAATGTGATTAAATGTGTTTAAATCATTTACTGTGACCACTGTAAAAAATTTTTACCTTGGTATATTTGTTTCCATTGTCGATACACCATAAAACATTGTTAAAACACCCAAACCAGCTGGGGGTATTAACATTGTTGTATAAAAACCAAGCCATGCAAAGTACAAGCCTGTTTTCTCACCAAAATATCTCCTACAATTTAAAAATGAATGAAATATTGAAATAATACAGAAAATTTATTTGTTACAAATAGTTATTTGTAGCAAATAAATTTTATGGCCATTTCAAAGTGGAACTTTGAAATGAAAACTACTGGACAGAATGTTATCAAACTTGGTAATAGTGTACAGGACTTCATGGGATTTTTTTTTGCGGGACATAAAGTTCAAAACTCACCTCCAACAGGAAATGGCACTGTCTGCAATATTGTTAAATGAAATAAGACATGAAGACATTGTTGAAAATGTTTTTAATCGGTTTTAAAACGCATTACAGAGCATGTTTAATGTGGTGTGCACCATTTTTGATAAGCAAGTTACATCGCATTACTGTGTTCTCAACAGTAGCTCTTAGCATATCACTTTCTTCCTGCCATAAGCCATTGTGATTTTGCATAACCCCACAAACAGTTTCATTGTAAAACCAATTAAAATTATTTTCAATGATGTCTTCATGTCTTATTTCGTTTAACAATATTGTAGACAGAATCACTTCCCATTGGTGGTGAGTTTTTGAACTTTTTTTTCACGGGAAATAAAATCCTATGACCTCCTGTACAATATTACCAAGTTTGATAACATTCTGTCCAGTAGTTTTCATTTTATGGCCATTTCAAAGTGAAACTAATTATAATCACCCTGTATATTAAAACTATCAATATTTACAAAACACAAATTCTTAATAAATAATACATTAGAACAACACAACATCACATTAACTCAATAAATATATAAAGAAAATTGCTTTTTGCCCTTGGTATAATTAAATTAATTAAAAATCTACTAATGTGAGGCAGATAATAAGGACTTATCACACCAGTGATAATAAACACAAACACCCAGGTATCAATGGAGTACATTTAATAAAATGAGAAGGGGTGTACATTAAAATCGATTACATTAGCAATTAACATGAAATAACCAAAATTCATTTTGGACTATCGGAATAGTCCCTCTTCAGTTGGTAAGTATTTTTAAGTATTTTAACCTTTTAATATGTATACCAACTAAAGAGGGACTATTCCAATAGTCCAAAATGCATTTTGGTTATTTCATGTTAATTGCTAATGTAATCGATTTTAATGTATACTCCTTCTCGTATTATTAAATGTACTCCATTGATACATGGGTGTTTGTGCTTATTATCACTGATGTAATAAATCCTTATCATCTACCTCATATTAGTAGATTTTTAATTAATTTAACTGATAAATATATATTAATACACAACCAACCATCAACTGTAATAATCAGGCAGATTACAAGCAATAAATATTAAATTTGAAAATTATATGATAAGGCTTTAGACGCCAACCATTGACGAAAGTAGTAACTATGATTTTAGATTTTTATGATTTTTAGATAAAGAGGAGTCGCTCAGAGGTCCAGGTGGCATAACTGGTCAGCATACCACACGTTAAGCGAAGGTTGCAGGTTCAACTCCGCTACACTAAATTCTAAATTTAATATTATAGTTACTATTTTCATCAATAGTTGGCACCTAATGCCTTATCATATAATTTCCAAATTTAATATTTGTTGCTTATAATCTGCCCGATTATTATGGTTGATGGTTGGTTGTATATTAATATATAATACATTAGATATGCAAATTTGTTTGTCTTTGTGCTAACAAAACAATAATTTTCTTGACATTTTATTTTGATTCATAATATATAATTTTTTATGACAAAAAACCTATCCATGCTAAATATAGAGTTTTGAGTTATACAATTGGAAAGAGACCCATTACTAATGTAAATAGCACCTGTATGGGGGATACTATCAATCATCCTACCAAGAATTCTTTGTAAAACACTACCAAGAGGCCACAAAACTGAGTTTAGACATGAGCCTACTCTGCCTACCTATAGTACTATAAACACACATTACAAAGCATGTAGTTTGAATGAATGTTAAATTTAATCGTTCAGAACTTTGATGTTAAGAAAATAATTCTGTCACAATGAATAAATTTAAAACGACAGAAAATATATAGATTTTTTTTATAAGGTTTTTATTTTTAAAAAATAGAGAATATATGGTTTTTGGAAAGTTATTCTTTGATTGAAGTTCTTCCAGGAGATTTGAGAGATATCATGCCATATTATTTGACTTTTTAGTCCTAATATTTGAGCTTTCTTCCATCTTTCAAACTCCATTATGGATTTACGTGTAAAAATTAGAAACATCTACTCAGTGTCTTGGAAATGGTTAGTAAAAAAGACTACAAAAGAGTATTTTTTTTCAAGATAGAAAAGTTGATATTTTAGTTTATTTTCCTTAAGTGCAGTGAAGCTACTTTTGGAAAATATTTTAAATTCTCTCATTAACTAATTTAAACACACAATAATTTAGCATAATAAAAATTATTATATTTACCTGATAAGATTTAAAGGCTGACGTTTATACCAAGAAGCTGGTCTTGCCCATTCACTGTACAACAACTGTAAAAAAATAAAGAAAAATTATTTTAATACATTTGTTTTCTAAAATTATCACTTTTATGAATACTTATTTACATTTGAATAAGAACATAATTTATAAAGTAATATACAAAATAGATAAAATACAACTTATTGGACCAAAATGATATAGTAAACACTTCAATCAAAAGTCTTAAATTATTTTCCAGTAAAAGTTAATTAGCAAAAGTTTTTTCAACTAATGTTTTCAATCTGTAATTGGAGATCTTCTTTGGGTCTTGATTCTAAATTCATTGACGAAATGCTTAAATCAAACAATGATGTTTTTTTGAAAAATTAAATGAAAGAGATTCTCGAGATATAACATTAATGTTATTAGATAATTTGAGTTTCTTCAGTTCAATAATTAATTGCTACGTGTTATTGATGGTAAAGTTGTAAGTTTTTAAGTGTTCTTTAAGAATGTTATGCATGGCTTTTTCTAAGAGGTGCATAGGGAATTTCGCATTACACACCAAATGTGAGATTCAGCCTTGTTTATTTACGGCACGACTTAGATTTTTAACGATACTATTTTATTAACCTACTGTCAACTTTCACACCTGGGAGTTAATCACTTGACAAGTTTTCAGCAACTAAAAAGACGCTTTCTCATAACTTCACGACCTATTGTTGCAAGTTTGTTAGTTGAATATAACAACAGACCGATCTTCGGGGCAGTCATCCTTCGCCCTACCAACTGTGCAGTCACCCATTTTTCGAAGCTTAAACATTACCTGAGTGGAATTTTCTGCCTATCACCTCCTACTCCTTCATCTTTTGATCGCGGATTGGATTACCTAATTACCGATATCTTAGCAAGTGTCTTGGATTACCTGAACAGCAAATTGACTTTATTATATGTACAACCAAACTTTTCCCTCCAAAGATCATAGAAAGTACCCATTCTGGAGATCATCAAAGGACCAATCCATCAGGTATCTATCACCATGCGTTTTAATGTGAACTCTCTCTCTCTTACCACCAGGGCTGTGGAGTCGCATAAAAATCTACCGACTCCAACTCCGGCTAAAACACCAAAACTCCACGACTCCGACACCGATTCCACAGCCCTGCCAGGGCTGTGGAGTCACGTAAAAGTCTATCGACTCCAACTCCGACTCTTCCTTACCATCTGACTCCGGTTAAAACACCAAAACTCCACGACTCCGACTCCGACTCCACAGCCCTGCTTACCACAGAAGCCAATTATCCCTCTTTAATGAGGAACGTGTTTCCTGTATTCAATGTCTTAGATTACTATTAAACGTTATTTTGTTACCCTACTCTGCATAATCACTTCCGGTGTGCTGTGTCTCTCTCACTCAATCCAGAATCAAATCGCTCAGTAACGTGACTGTTTGTGTGACCTATTTCAAAATCACCATCTCGGCTTCCGGGTTAAGCAAGATCCAGTGGTGTCATCCTGACAAGGCATCAAGGAGGTGCCGACCCTCCAGTCACAATGGGTCATATGGTGTTGCCCAGTTTGTGTGTTTTCACATAGGCGAAAAATGTCAGGAGAAGCAATTACTGTCTTGTTGAATTTTAATTTTTTTGCTAAAACTGTGCAGATAAATCTGGTGACACGTGAATTAACCCTTGCCGGAAAATACTTTAAGACTTATGACTGAAGTGTTTAATATTAAAAATGTTCTCATAAATGTTCTCACAAATGTTCTTAATTGTTAATTTCTTAAAGAAATTTCTTAATTTCGTGAATTTTTGTTATTTTGGTCACTGAGTTTAATATTTACCAATTTCAGTTTGAAAAAAAATTTAAAATATACTAAACAGTAAATAAAAATTCTTTTATTTGATCCTTTGGTTTACTCATTTGCAAAACTGATAGAACCTTGTGCTCTTAAATAATAAAGCTATGCAACAAATTTTTATATCTGAATAATTTTAATATCATACACTTGAATCCTACTGCAGAAATTAATAACTTTTTATACTCTTTCTGCTTTGCTATACAAGCGTTCCTTTGTTTCATGTCCATTTAGTCAGATTAGTAATAGGACAGCCAGGTAATAAGGAATGAATCCAAAATGGTCAGACTAAAGCACCCCAAGAAACATTTGAGGATTAATCTGATGCTGAATCCAGTTTATTCAGTGTAGCAGGCAGATGTGTTTATTACTTGTCATACAGTTGATGGATATATATATTTTTTTAGTTTTGACTCTTTCTGCTTTGTGGACACTAAGAAGACCTTTTTTCCATAACTGCTATGGATTTGGTCAAGCCCACAATGAGACAGATGGACCGATCCTGGTCCCAAGAGTGGAGGCTAGTGCCTTAATTGCCTCGGCCATCCAGCTGTCAGATATAGATATTTGTATTCATCAGATATTAATGAGAATTGCTATCTAATATTAATTCAAATTATATCTTTTCAAACTACATACCCTTCTTTCATTTTTTTCTTCAATTTCTGGTTTAAAGGCACCTTTACCATATGGACCCTGAAAAAGTTTTTGAAATACATTTTAAATTTAATTAAACTTATCTATATTAAAAATTTTTCACATACTTACATCATGCAGAGGATAGGCAGCTGAATATGTACCATTGCTTAAAAGATGAGTAATTCCTACAGTCATAATAAATACGAGCAATACATAAACAAGTTTTGAAACAAACAAACAAATTATCATAATCATTAAATTATTTATAAAAGAATCAGTTAAACTAATGCAAAATAACACCATAAAAAACTGTAATAAGAATGTGATTTATTTCACATTCTTATTACAGTCCGTAGGTTGACATCCTATTTATGTAAAAGTTTTGTATGCAGATTACATGAAGTAATCTGCATACAAAACTTTTACATAAATATGAAGTAAGATAGGAAATAATAAGAATAGTACAAAGCTAAAATAAATGAAAGACCACGATTTATTTGAGATTATGGATGGGCATCTCCTGTAGGTAATACTGACACAATGTTTTACACCACAATTGCCAAGAGACATTGGGTCAGTATTGCCTACAGGAGATGCCCATCCATTTTCAACATACTGTGCAATAGAAAAGACCTTCCTAACCCTGACATAATACCAGGCATTTATAATGTCCCTATCAGAGACAACAGGTGTGATAGGGAAATGGTGTACATTGGCTCCATTAAACATTCAATGGCTCCATTAAACATTCAATGGGGGTCAGATTATGGGAACACAAATCTGACATACAGCATAGTAGGAGTACGACTGCTAAATCGTAATATCATAATATCACTAATTAAACATCTGTAAGTAATACAAGATGGGAGAGCAGAATAAAAGCAGAATAAATATAACAAATATTTTAATGGATTTTTTTGAAACTTCTGTTAACTATACAGAAATATCATAAAAACATACCAGTAAACTCCTATCGGTAGGTTAAGTTATAAATCTACTCGCGATTTACATAATGGGGTCAGGGTAGCAATATCTAGCACCAATATCTAGCATGCAGGCAGCTAACAGCCCAGAACTGATCTTGGATAGAATCATTGGAAGCGTTATACAATATTTTGATGTGTAGCAAACCGCGTGAGGTTGGTGCTATGTAAAGTGCATGTGCGAATGCGTATAATCTGGCTGCTTTATACCATTCAGATATTTTCGCCATGAAAGCTGTCCCATATTTGACAACACAGTGCTTCCATTTCACCACTGATATTCGAATATACAATAGCAATCTTATCGTTTTTTCACATGTAGTATAGAAATTTGTAATAACATACATATTGTGGTTATAATAAAATATTAATTTTAATTAATTCAAAGTACGTTAAAATAATTAATTGCACAATATGTATTTATATTTTAGAAAATACAAGGGAAGAGGCACTTCCACAGCTTCCAAGGATGGCATGCCACTGCTATACATAAGTCTGCATCAGGTTTAACGTATAAATGGAAGATTCAAACTACAAGTTTATTTATGTTAAACCTGATGTAAACCTATAAAAAATGGTCAAAAACATTTGTTTAAATAAATTAAAGAACAGTATTTAAGTTGTTGTTAAAGCTAAATTAATTTCAGCTTACACAGAAGTTTTTATCCAAGATAATTCAAAATAATCAGTTTTCTGTTACATAAGATAAATTATGTGTCAAAAAAGATAGAAGTTATTCAGTTGATTGAGAATAGTACAATATATATACAGTATTACAAGACCTATAGAAAGAAACTTTTAGCAAAGGCCAGATTAATTCAAAATTGATATTAATTAAATTGATCTGTTTATTAAGCCCTGAAACAATTCCTATATTTTTACCAACATAGAAAACCTAAACACAAAAAGAATTCTACCATTTTAAATTATTGTAATTATTTTAATTATCAAGAAATATGCAATATATACCAGTTTAAATTTTAAACAGTTTGAATGCAATTTATTAAATGAACAGCTTGTTATAAAATAATTTGTATGTGAATTTATGTAAATAACTCCATGTTTTGTTGACATTTTGTATTAAAATTGTACTTAAAATTACATTTGAAAAAACTGTGAAGAAATGACAACTTGTCAAAGATTTTTATTATTTGTGTTATTATTTTGCAGTCTTTTAAATTTACAAAAAAAGTATCATATTGTATGTCAATATTCAAATTTCAGATTTTTCAGGCTATAACTTGGTTAAACTTTAATTAAAGTTTAGCCAAGTTATAGTGAACAAATTTAGTCAACAATCATTTCTTGAGTTGTCTATTTAAAAAAAAAAAATGCATGGGTGAGCACATAGAACTCAAAGTGAGTCAGATTTGAGTGTCTTATATCCAGAATATTCAAAATTATTTAATTATTAATATTAATACAAGATGGCAGCCTTAGCCATGTATCTTTAGTCCAAAGTACTTAGTTTGATTAGTTAAAGTTTAGCCAAGTCATAGCCTGAAAAATCTGGCATTTACATATTTATATTTTAGTTTATATTAACAAAATCATTTGTAATAAATGTAAATTTAAGCAAATTATAAAATGTAAATCAAAGGATAAAGCAAAAATCCAATCCGACAATAACAAAAGTAATCGTACCCGTCGTTCTTCCTCCATCGTCACAGGATGTGCGTAAGAGAATTTCCCACACGATACGACTCCTTTGACCAAAGCTAAAAAATGTTTCTTGATCTCGATTTACAAATCTGTTGAAAAAGATTTTCTTTAATGGAATAAATTTCCAAAATGTTGAGAATTTCTCTAAAATACTCAAAAAAATAATTCAGGTATTTTGATAGAAGTATGGAAGATAAAAAGAATTAGAAGTTTTATACAGACAAATTTGAAATCTATGAAGTTAAAATTTACTGTAGGAAAAAACAAGAAAGTAAAAACATGGAAATTGCATCCATTTAATGTATATTAACTTATTACTTTGACAAAGTTAACTACATATGACAACCCAAAAGTTAGTTAACCATTATAAAGACTAAATTTTCTAAAAACTATTCACAGAAGCTGGGCCTGATGAATAATGTAAAAATAAGGTTATTATTTTTGCTGGCATGAAAATATTGTTATTTTTATATTACTAAATCTTTTATATTACTACATCTTATTCAAGTACTTAATCATAACTTTTATCATATTTCTACCATTTATCCCCATTTTTAACTCTTTCTTCCGTTTGGACAGTTAAGAGGGTCTTTTTTCCAGGTCCTGCTTATTAGTCTAAATGCTTGAATAACAAGCTATTGACATTCTTGTACTTTATAATCTCTAATCCTTAGCATCATGAATAAGTCTACAGCAGGGTGGCCAGGTGGCAAAGGAGAGACTCAACACATCTGAGACAGACCATCCACAAAAAATTTCTGGAGTTCTCTATATAGATTCCAAGTCCTCTGGAGTGCCTTGGCCATCGGGATGGCACTCTGGAAGACCTGATGGCTGAGGAATTCAGGCAAACATTCTAAGCTCGGTTTTATGATTCATATTCAGGAGTATACTACAAACACACACAACACAATTAACTGACTTTTGGGCTATCCTGTATATGTAATTGGTTAATATTAGCAAATATGAAAATTATATATTATCAGAAAAATATTTAAAAGCAGAATATAAACTGTAATAAATATAACCTAATGATATGTCAGATTAACTTTAAGCATACAATTTAAATATTTGAAATGAACTGAATAAATTATTTCATGTATTATAAGAAAAATTACATCATTAGGTCAATCATTATCATCAATTTTTTTTTTCAATTCTTTTATTATTAGCAAGTTAAATCTTAAAATATGCTGTTTAAGATGTGTGAGAATTCATTGTGAACCCAACCAATATGCAACTGAAATCAGTTTCAACTGCATATTGAAATGTGTAGTTCCCCCACTGAGCTGTGGCCAATGGAACACTTAAAAGGTTTACTCTTGATGTGTATGATAATTTGAATGAACAGTTTTCAAACCACTGGACTGGACATACTTTTTGGTATCAGTCCATACTGTTGCTATTACCAATTGTGCATAGCTGAAAAGATGCTTTATGCACCATTACCTGTAACTCATCAGGCACTCAAATCCTGTTGGTCCTTAAGATTCTTACTTGAGTATTTGCTACTGCCACAAAGATCTGCATTAGAGACAGTTCAGGGCAGGCACACCTGCCGCTTTTATCTTATGCCTCTGTGACTCTTCCAAAGACACAATGTAACTGTACAGCATGTCACAAAAAATACAGAAATGCATCTAAGTGTATGTTGAACATAATAATGCTTAACATACTTCATCCCCATCTTCAAAATGTACATGAACTTGAACAATATTTACATTAGAAAACAAATCTCAAAAGGATAGAATCGTTCACCCAATATACAACTTACATAATCCTTTTTTCAGTTGAATCACACTGGATTGGATTGATGGATAATGCAACACAACATGTGGGCCAAGGAGGGGTGCCTCCCAGAAGGATTTCCCAAAGAAAACTGACCTTGTCAGCCTGTTAGTCAGGTATGAACCCATTACCAATTGGCGGTGTTTGGTGATTTTATCCACTTGGTCACTGGTGGACTAAGGTCACGACATGAAGTTCATCTTTGTATGTCTTTCATCTTCCCAAAGGAAGACATGATAATGTATAGGTATGAAATTTGTTAATTCATGCAAATTTATTATGATTCCTTTTTCATTATTTGCAGTTCCATCTTTTCCAAAATTCTTTTTCATGCCAAATCGTTCATCAGCATTATAAAAATACCGTTTAAATTTTGCTTTCATTAAATATAAATTATCGACATTATCAAAAACAAATTGACAAAATCATTACCAAATAAATAAAAGTTACACATAAATTCAAATTATTTAAAAATACATTTAAAATATAGAAATAACATTTTTTTTAAAAAGAAATTATAAATTATAAACATTTTATAATTTAATATAAAAAACATAAATAAAATATTTTTAATTTTAGTTCTGTTTTATTATAATTATTTATGATTTAACATAAAACATATTAATTCTATATTTATTTTATCATTTAAATATTTTGTTTAATACATTATTCTAATCTACATAAAAAAAGCATCGTTCAATCGTCATTATGCTTAAAGAAAAAATAAAAAGCATAGACCTATGACACATCTAGTAAACAAAACCATAACATAAAATAAAAAATGGCCATCCACAGCTGATTTTGACACTGTCAATACCAATACGAAAAGCATGCTATCGTAACTGCACTATGACGACACATTTCAACTATGTGGTGAACTGCTGGTAAATTAACATGGCACAGCAGAACGAAGAAGCCTGTGCAAACACATCTATGCACGTCACACACTGACACAAACCTTACTTACATATTTTGTCCGTTTTCCAACCTAAGGATAGTTATATCCATGTACAGTACGTACATAAATGAGAAAAGAAAAAAGAAATCATTGCAAATCAATAGAGACATAACCAAGATAAAATAAAATATATACAAATATATTTATATACTATTACATTATCTTTATTAAAAAATATTATAATAATTATCACATTAAGTTAAAAAAAAAATGCTAAAATAATTAAAATAAAATAAAATTTAATCCTAAATTTTTTATGTTTTTACTTACAACACACTTGTTAATGAAATTTCTCATCAGTACACCCAATTTAAATTGCTTTCCTTGAAGAAAAACCTAGAAAACTTGAGCTTATTCAGATAAGTTCATATCGAGAGAAGACAAAGATCGGCAAGGGAAATAAAAATCCATATGTGATGATGAATTTCAGAATAATCCAGCATCTTCTACAAATCTTCATTCCTCTTACCAATGCTTGACGATGAGTGTAAATCTTGAAAATACTCAAATTTTCTAAAATATCTTCAATCCAACAAAAGCAGTTTGAATTGGATGTTTATGCTATTAGAAACACTTAATTTCAAGAATAGAAATTTAGTATTTCAGTATGGATAGAAGCATAAAATGTCTGTTTCAGTCCATACAATATAAATGATAAACATTTGTTTACTTTATTAAAACACTAAATTATAAAATAATTTTTGGTCACTTGAAAATAAAGGTGTGTATCCAGTCTTCATATAAAGTTATATTTAATTCTATTGTGCAGGCACTTTGTGAAGAATACACAATATTTTGTCTAATACTATAACACGTTGGCCGAATTTTAGAATAGAAATGAGNGCTTGCAGAATATGTTTGAGTCTTACTCCAAAACATGTTTTCTCGAATCATTTTTCAAATAAAATTTGTTTAAATTCTCTAATAATTAATGGCTGCGGTATTAGTACAATTTGTAATAAATTGTTTTGAGTCATTAATTTTTATTACACAGATTTATATTCCGGTAATAAAAATCTAGTATTTAAATATATATAAACAAACAATCTACACCGACTGGCAATATGTTTAATGCATTAATGAATTGTTTGTATATTAAGTGTATTGCCAGTAACTCGATAACAGTTGCAGAAGGGACTAGTAATGGCAATACCAAAAATTTAAGATTATAATCTAATGAAGGCCATTGACGATGACAGAAAACATTCATTTGCATATGAAGGCTGACACACAAGTGAGGCCGTTGACACCTTGTATGGAGCCTGGAGGCAGAGTGGACTCCTTTAAATTGTTTTTTGAACAAACAAGACACACAGAATGTTACTTTATTAATAAAAAGCAGTTGTAAGATTTTCTTTTAGTAAAAGACACATTAATTTATAGGAGTATGAACCATACGAACCTCCAAAATTCTTCAAGGCCCAGGGAAAAAATTTCCCTCTTGACAGCCCTAAACACATTATTTATTTACGCAAACTTAATGAATTACAATTTGCCATTCATTTGATCAATTTTACATTTATTTAAAAAAAAAAAATACAAATTGTTTATAATCTTATAAAATAAATTTCAGTTAAATACTTTATTTAAAAAATAAAAAAAATAGTTGGTGAAATCACATCTGTTACAGAAATTCAATAAAATTTTTTATTAACTTCATTATATAAAACAACACTCCTATTAAATTAATTTTATTATTTTCACTAATTTAGCAATAAAAATTGCAATTCAAAAGATGGCAATTTTTATTGTCAAAAACAGCAAAAAACTAGGAAGTAATAAAATTATCTTAAAAGAAATTAGGTCAAAGTTATTGGAAAATAAGAGAAAATGAAAATTTATTCCATATTTTAAGTGCAATTCAATTTGAGATATCAAAAAAAAAATAATAATAATAATCATCTTGTTAAATAGATGTTCAATGTAAAAATATGTACAAAAACATTATTATGTAATTAATCATAAACAGTTTATTCAAATTAGATATTAATAGAATTTTGGATTTGAATTGATTAGATGCACTAACTCAACACAAGCAATCCATCAGGGGTGATTCCCAGGAAGACTTTAATATTTAAATAGGTGCTAGTTTTCAGTATAAACAGATGAAGAAAATCCAGAAACCTCCACATGGTCAGCCCATCACTTGGGTGCAGATCCCTGACCAACTACCGATGTTCAATGGTTTTATTCACTTGTGCCACTCTACTGGTAGTCAAGTAAATAAAATCATCGAATGTCAGTCTTAAAGACCTTTATTGAAGGATATAATAGATCTTAAAGATCTCTTTTGAATAATACAGTTAGATTAACTGACAAGCTAGCTAAGTAATTATAGAAATTACATAATTTTGACTAAAGGTAATTGAAACAATATAGCCTAATAGTTATTCCAGCTGTATCATTTAATTATCAGCATA